ACCAAGTTAACTATTTAGAACAACTGTTTTTTCTTCAAGATCATTTGGGGGCTTTTTTTTTTTTACCTTTATTGATAGGACAGCTGAAGGACAGGTAATGTGGGGATGAGAAAGTGGTATAGACATGCACTAAATGACCGAGGCCAGGACTCAAACCTTCAACTGAAGACTCTGAATATGTGGTGCCTCGGCAACCAACTGAGCTTAAGCTACGTGCCCTTAATGGCCCCCTAAACAAGTTTGTTTGTTTGTTTATTTGGATCCCCATTAGCTTCAGCATAGTGAGAAGCTATTCTTCCTGGGGTCCGCAGTTTATATTGTGACATACATATTACAGATTAATATCATATATTATTCTTTTCACACTACACAAACATTCGCCAAATTTCTACAGTAACTAAAAACAAGAGAGACAATTGACATAAATGAATAGAAAATCCAAAAGAAAACCCAAAAGAAAGGGTTAAAGCTAACTACAGTATGTGACGAACAAAGACAGTGATTGATGCAAAAAAATCTTATTAAAAAAGAATGATATGCAGTAATGAAAAGATCTTGGGGTACAATTGATAGCTTTAAATATTAGAGAAAAAAACACAAATAAATAACCTAAATCCAAAAGGACAAGAAGTCATCTGAAGCAACAACAACAAAAAGGACACAAATACACTGCAGAGGGAGCTTAGTATGCTGCTGGTGTTCTATAGCCCTCAAGGTCTGGAAACTGCAAAGGGACAGCGCTTATGACAACTCACTGTGGGTGAAGGCAAGCAATTGGAGGACTGCTTTTCTTTGAGCCACTACTCGTTCAGAAAAGACTGTGATTATTGAGCTAAACGCTGACAAGTGCCCTGTAGCAGTCAGCTATACACACTATACAACTATACAAACTATGGTATATAAAAAACGTATATCAGCTGTTTGAAGAGGCCCCACATTTTGTGGGTCGGTAGACACTCAGGTTACCCAAATATATGTTCAAAAACACTGTAAAAGTGGATTTTTCATAATATGTTCCCCTTAACACATTTCAAATATTGATTTATAATTATTTTTTACATATATTTTTCAATATTAACTAGGGCTTTCATGCTAAAATGATTAGAACATGATAAAGGTTTTCCTGTTCGTATGCTAATAATACATGACTTCTAAGTACATCTACAACAAACTACTTATTTAAGTGTTAAAGAATAATCTGCCCAACTTGAAAACTTTAACGTACATTTATCCACCTCTCGCCCACGTCTTAATTATGTCCAGACCAGAAATTTATCTTTGTGGCCATCACCTGCACATCAGTCTTTTCCCTTCACAGACCCAAATGTCTTTCAACAATGAAGAGTGAGACCTCTAATGACTACTGAATCTTTAATGACGATATTACCGCCTGATACATCTTTTAGCAGCAGCTGTCTCATTTCAGAAGAATGGGCCAGTTTTTAATAGCTTCGTCTGAGGCCATTTTTGGAAAAAAGGGGCACATGGTTTCAATTAGAAACTTTTCTTTCCAGACTTCCTCGTATCACTTAGCTTTATGGTTATTTATGCCTCTGATGCCCTCATTTAGATGTTTTTTATTTCACTTCATTAAATCCCAATTACAAAACCATGTCACAGGAAGCAGTGACTCCAGATCATACACGCTCTCCCTGACATTAATAATGAGTATATGCTTTATATACACTTGTAGCTTCGGCATTATCATACTTCACCTCTAGCTGCTGCCTCACCCTCCCACATGAAGCATGAAGGTTACTTCTGCTGCCCTGGGAGCATAAACGATAAGATGGACAAATGAAAACTCAACCACACGCTAAGGCTATAAATACACAGCCATGCATCAGGACAAGTTTGCACACATGTGTGCAGCAAAAAGACAAGCATAGGGTGGCATGACACACAAGTGTTCTCCTGATAATCATTTATAGAGCTAGGTGGTGAGGGGCAAAGTGCTGTTATCGCACGCCAGCAGCAATTTTCAGCTCTCAAAACCCCTCCATGCCAAGCTGCAAACACCATTAGCCCGTACAAGCAGGCGATAGGATGTGCACTTCAAGCTGCTGTGCCAAGTACTTCTTGTCTGCTGTCATCCTATAGGGAGATAATGAGTCATTCTTTCTATACAGCTAAACCCAGTCCAAGGTCCATTATTAGTTGAGAACAAAAGGACCTAATCCTTCTTGTGTTGTTGTGTTTCAGGGGATTTGGGCAGTCCTTCAGAACTGGATCGAACTGAGCGGATTTCAAAGCTTTCTCTCCCTCTTGTTTTTGCGCTGAGGGTTAGTCATCAAAGGGAAGATTTCGATGTCTCAGTGCTAATCTGTTGTGCCCTTCGTGTATAACTGTTTATGCTCTCATGTAGGCGAAAGCGAGCCCAAAATACCAAGGCTCTGTTCACAACACAGAGGGCAGATGTAGCTTCCCCTCCCCTTATGTGAGAGATTTATCAACAGGAGTTGAAGCAGTAATTCTCAATTGTGGATGCTCAATAATTCATGCCAAGATTCTCTCCGAAGCTTATAGTATGAGATTGTCTTCAACACATTGCTCTAAGATCTGCATTATGTGTGTTATTAAATCCATACACATCTTGGTGTGCCGTGCTTTCACATTAGCTAATGTTTTGAAAGGCTATTTTACATAATATGAGTTAACTTAATGTTAATACAACTCAAAAACCTTACAAGTGTCTTAACATGATTCCTGACTGAGAAACACCAAAGGAGTCACAGGTTGGACCCAAACCTCCTATAGCCACATGGGGCGCAACCTTACCACTAGGCCATCTGCGCCCAGGCACAGGGATACTTTGAGTTGAACGCTAACATCAGCATTTGGCAAGCTCAGTTTTGTATTGGTAAAATCTCTAAAGCGGATGAATTATATTAAGTCTAAGGATTTTGCATACGTTTAAGAGGCATGGCTGATTTGACTGACAGGTGGGCACATTGTAATTGTTTAAGGCCTGCCCCTAACTCCACTTCTTTGCCTGTTTCTAGACTGATTCAAAAGCTAGGTAGAGTCAGCATTTCCAATATGATCACTGCCATCATTGGGCTTTATAAAGCATTTTTAGAAACCAATGGTTGATCTCACGGAGCGGCAACTACAAGGCTGCATCTGAAAGTGAAATTTGAAGCTAAATGCTAATGTCAGTCAGCTACTGTAACATGCTCACAATGGGGTTTAACCATTTAGTGAGGCGGGTTAGCGTGCTAGCATTAGCTTAATAACACTGAATAGACCTGCAGCTAATGGTAGGTTCCTTCCAAACTAATAGTCATTAGTTTGGAATTACTCCTTCCAGATCATAAACAAAACTGCTGCATGAATAGTAATTTCAAACCTGATGATGGTGCTAGATGTAGCCTTTAGTAAATGGTTTAAATCAGATGCAATTATTCATCCAGATTCAAGTGAATAATCAATATCATGAACATAACAGAACTATATTCAATATTTCAGAGCCTGTCCGCCTAGTGTAATATTGGGATCTCACTTAGAGCTACGCTGAGTTAAATGCTGAATGCAGAATATGAAAAGACTGAGACGGGAGTCCAGGAGTTTGTATGTATGGCACAATCTAGATCAAAGTGTGATGCCATGTGTCTGTGAGCCAGACTTTAAGTTAGCTGTTAATGCAGAGGGATGCGAAGGGAACACAGCCTATTTTAGATAAGATGAAACCGAAAAGGCTTCTCTAAATCTGAGTGTGCCACGACCATAACTTGAACTCCAGAAATTCACCTAATAAGCTTAGTCATAACCGAGGCAGGGAATGTGCTGGTGTGTATGTGTGCGATCATCTGAGTGTGCCTACTAGATGGATGCTTAGGGAGCCATAAAGAATTAAACAGCCAACACATCAACCTTAGCAGCAACGGAACTGCATGTGGTTGGCTGCTGATACAATACGAGTGTGCAAAATCCAGATTTTCTTATTGATTTTTAACTGAACACCGTCATGCAACAGATCACAGACTCCTCACATCGATACATGACCTCTGGCTACTTAAAAACCTGATCAAGGACTTAACCAAACACAGATCCTTTAAAAATAAACCACATGCTACTGTGTGTTCAGAAATCTAGGTGGATTTCTTTAGGTTTGTGTATGGTTGTCTCTGTCCTTGAGTGGCTGCTTGTTCACTTGTAAATGCTCTGTAGTGGTTGAGTGGCTTGTCGAGCCCCGCCGTGCTGGGCCTAATTGCTGCTGTTATTTGAGCTCTGAATGAGTCGGAGGTGTGATGTTTATCTCTGTCTCTGGGGAATAGCTGTGACAGCTCTTCTCTATTGGCAAGAAAGCTTCTTACTTAAGCTATTGTAGTTGTTGAGTAAATCAGCCTAATGTGCATCTACTTTCTTATTCAAACACATACAAGAGTTATAGTTTGCCAGTTCATGTATTGTTCCTCTGATCTTGTTCCGCCGTTCTATAGCCTAGCTTCATGGAGTGCATTAAACAGGATGTCACTTGTCGCTTGTGTTTATTTCTTGACTCTTAAAGATAATACCAGGAGAATTTTGAGATTATCTTGTTATCTGGCGCGGGGGGACTGGAGGGCAAAAAGATCTTACGGAACGTGGCAGCCACCATTGAAACACTGTGGAGCTGCAGCATGGGCTGTTAATTTACCATCTCTTCAGAACGAGGCCAATGCACACCACCTGACAACTGCTAAATTATTATGATAAACTGCAAGTTTTGGGCACCTGAGTCTTTAAAATCAACAAAGTCCTCGCCCTAACGTCTCTTTTCTAATTTTACATGGCTTTTATTAAGTGAGTAATTTGCCTTACAACGCCGTTAGGATGAAAGCCTACAGAAATACTGACAGCTTTATGTATTTTATATGTGGCTGGGTCAATAATGCTGCTGTTTGTCAACTGAAAGGCAAGAAATTTCTCATCAAAGCATATCATGAGTGCTAAATAGCTCACATTTGCTAGTAAATGTTACCTAACGACCTCACGTTTTCTGTTTGTCCTCCATTCAGATTGAAGACATTGTAACACGAATACAAGATGAGAAAGCGGGAGGTGTATCCATCCGGACTGTCAAAAGCTTCCTCTCCAAGATCCCCAGTGTGGTATCAGGTTAGTACATGTGTTCATAAGTGTGTGTGTGTCCGTGCTTGTTTACGCTACTGTACAATGGCTGCTGTTACTGACTTCTGTGACCCCTTTGCTTGTGTGATTCTCCCTTTACAAGGGCTTGCTATACTTGATGTGCTGATTATTGTGTGTACGTGTTTGTGTGTGTTAAGTGCCTCACTCTGCGAGACAGCATCAGTAAAGCAAATATGACCTTTTGGGCTCATTTAAATTGCAGCTACTGCGGTTGGAGGCCAGTGATGTCTTTGCCGATAAGACCTCAGCACCGAGGATACGGCCTGCGGTGTGAAGCTGTCCATGTCTCACTGCAGAAAAAAAAAAAGATTTTTCTTTTTCTGTCTTCTCAGTCTGTGTACGCCTTCATGTGTCTGTGTGTGGATGAGTCACTAGTGTTGGACGAGGGGGTCGCCCCTGCTCCCCCAGAGGTTATTTTGGAGTCACTTCTTCACATGGCTCCCTCAGGCCAGATGGCCTCGCGATCTCTCTCTGCAGCCTCTGCCAAAAACACAGGCTGTGAAAAATATTGTGCTGTCCAGGAGCAGAGAGCAACTGAAAAACCTGTTAGCATTATTTTGTGACACCTCCTCGGCTTTGACGGATTTGACCCGCAGCTCTGAACAGACAGAGACTTCCTCAAGGCTCAATTGTGTTTCTGGATTTCAGCTTTTGTTGAGACTTTTGCAGACATGAAACTTTGTGACACTTCTATGTAACCAATGACCTTCTTTGAATCACAGGGGCAGACATTGTTCAGTGGTTGATGAAAAACCTCTCCGTTGAGGATCCAGGTATGTCTCCCATTACATGCAAGATCAGTAGAGAAAGGCAAGGAATTGCAGAAGAACGCTGTTTCAATCTGTCTGTGTTCCTACTCTCATGTCCACAGCTGAAGCCATCCACCTCGGGAGTCTAATAGCTGCCCACGGCTACATCTTCCCCATCTCAGACCATGTCCTTACTCTTAAAGATGACGGGACTCTTTATCGCTTTCAGGTACAAAAGAAACTCCATCATGGGCGGGCTGTTGATGTTAGGATGAATATAGAGCATAGACTGCATATAAATATGGACATAGCATTTTCCACCTTCTCCTGTTGTACAAAATTGAAGCCAAATGCCTCTGTGATGGCGGCTGACACATTGAGCTGGTGACTTCATTTGGAGCCAAGACATGCATAGAAGGGATCTGGCTGGTGGAGTCACAGAATTGACGTCACACTCCTTCCAAAAACCAAAGCACACATTACCGATAAAACATCAAAGATCCTCCAGGTTGGCACTGTCCACAGAAGGACAGATTCTTGTGTCAGTTTGAAGCAGACGCTCATAGTTATGGAAAATTTCATGACTATATTGATAGTTTTTTATTATGTTTTCGAGTAAAGAACACTGCAGAAGCTGCATTTGGCAGAGCTGTCATTCAAGAAGTTACGCCACTCTTTTTTTTTTTTTTTTTTACATCAAATGGTTAATTCAAACTAAATTTCTCTTGGACATGAATCATCATGATAAGAATTAACTATGACGACAAAAACTATGTATTTTAACTGAAAGGCCCCATATGTAACTTCTGAAAATACAGTGTTGATAGTGACACCGGGTGGCCGTTACATAATCTGCATCAGTAACCTGTCGCTCGCTCTCCATGCCGCGCTAATATAATCCAAACGAGCATACTGACCATCGGCCGCAACACACAGGAAATCTAAACGTGATTTTACCGGCATGTTAACAGAGAAGGTAAGTGAAGTTACACTTTTGTACGATTATAGTTTGAAAAAACGATCTAGGAGATGAGGAAAAGACTATAGTTTCTCAACTGTTTTCATATGATTTATATAGCCTTATCAGCTTTCTACCTATCACAGCATTGAACAAATTCATCGTCTTTGCATGATACATTGACTGCTAACTGCATTAGCTACTGTCAGCTGACCAGCTTTATCAATAACCTGTGTCGCTTTTACAGAGGCTAGAAAATGTAAGCACAGGTGTCTTTGCAGTAAACTTAGTCTGCATAAGTGTCTTTGAACTGTGTTGGAGCACAATATTATTTTTTATGGTCGAGTAACATTATGTCTAAAGGAAAAACAGCTGCACTGCTTCAGAGCATAGTGTAACACAGCAGTGACAAGCACCATAACAAAAGAACTCCGACACTCAGACTTCTGAGTTAATATCGGGAAAAAGACTCAACGAATAAAACTGAGTGCAGGAAATTTTCAGGTAATGTTATTGTACTAAATTGGTCTTGCATTGAGACAATGAAAATCTAACCTTGTAGTATCATCACTGCTTACCATTGTTTATTTCACTGTTAGTCAGTCAGAGTGCCTCAAATATGAAATTTAGCTCAATAAAACTATAGAAATGTAAATATTTCTCTTGTCAGGAATCGGGCTCTGAGGAATTTGCAGCTCTTTGGCGAAGCGCACTGACCCAAGAAGCGGGAGGGGGAGCGCAAGTGGGAGAGGACGAGCCGGGGGAGAGGCAGAGGAAGAGCAGAAGCTGCATCTGTCAGTGAAGAGGACAGGAAGAGGATGGCTCAGCTGATTGCTGTGAGGACAGCAGAGTTTCCGGTTGGTCATATATATTTAAATGAATAAACACTCATTTTAATTGAGTCTAGGTAATCTAAAACAATGCTTGTTGCTCAATTTCCAAGCACAGTATGACAGCTGTCCCAGGAGGAGAGGGATGAAGTGCTCCACATAGTGGTAACTCGTCTGGACGTGCCACAACTGCCGAATCACGCCAACTGATCTTGATAAAACTAGCGTTGCCAACAGGATGCAACAGACTGTCTCAGCAGGAGGGCCCACATGGAACTATAGTGTCTAGATGAAGGCATCCTGCGTTTGGCTCGGCAGACCTGGAACAATATTCTTTCACTCCATGATGGCCAACACCCAGGGGCAGACTACCGAGAGTACTATTTATTTGTTATTCTGCATACCGCCAGTATACCATCTGGCAACATGGGCGTCTGGGAACTGGAAACCGGGTAGTTATCCCAAGCTGCTTTTTTCTGGAGAATAAGAGCTAAAAACCCTGACCCTTTCAGAAAAGCCCATTTAAAAGTGAATTCAAAACGCATCATTACCTCAAAAACACAAAGTGAAAATCTGCACAGGACATAATGCTCCTGTGAATGTTTATGTCCACCACATGTGACATGTGCTGCTTGGACCCGTCACATGTGTAGGTAATAAACATTCACACGAGCATTACTGTATCTACTGTGCACACTTTGTTTTTGTATTCTCACTTGTTTCTGTCTAGCACCTATTGTGTCATTTTTTTTTTATAACCTTCTTCTACAAAAATGTTCTTGTATAAAGTGCTTTTTGGTCTTATCTTTGTTGTTGTTTTTACAAGTTTATATAATTTATATATATATATATATATATATATATATATATATATATATATATATATATATATATTTGTACAAGTTTCTTTCAGAAAATATTTATAATAAACAAATTGAGTTCTGAACCACACTGTCTCTTTGTCTCGTGATTATGTTTAAGTCATGTCCTAGAGAGAGAGTGAGCAGATCTTAAACCAAGAGCTATACCGGAACAGAGACCTTTGATGTGCAGGAGAAAACCTGGAACAAATTATTTTTGGCATTTATGAGCTTGCATGACCAAGTTGAAAGTTGATGACCTACACAGCCAGACCACTCAACCAGTGGGTAAAATCACTGTTGCATACATGGATAAGAATATTGATTTTGGCAGTTAAACTTGTCTACAGCATTGTAGATAAGTGTGTGTTTATATTGCAGTACAATGCAAATATTGGATTCTATACTTCACCATTGCTGCATGATAGATAAACACAATGGCTCCTTGTGAGAGATGTTAGGACTGTGGTCATGTAACATACCTTTCCTCTGCAAATATGTGTCCGAGCCAGTTCATCCATTGTTCCCAGTACAACTCCTTGAAGCAGTGCAAGAACTCGGTGGGGCCTTCTGTCCTTTGACTCTTTTTTTCTTGGCAGTCCCCCTAAAGACTGCTGTTAATATGTTTGGAATGAGAGCAGGAAACACCACGATTAAACTTTATCGTTACCTATTTTTGAGCATTCACACCTCTGAATTCTAAAGAATTTCAACATTGACATTTCTTTCTTCCTATTTCCTTCATTTTGCAACATTATATTCTAAACTGGGGATTTCCTTTTTCTCGGGCAGTCTCTCCCCCAGCAGCTCGTGCCCTCTGGTGCGCTCCTCTCCAAAGTGCATGCGTCTCCTCCCTCTACAGCCCGCTGCTGCTATGCTTGGATGGGGGGGACCTCACCACTGCTTGGACCCCCGTCTTCGATACCGCTTGCCAGAGCATTTATGTCCGATCAGACACAACGCTGGCCACCTGTCTGGTGCGCAACAATGTGCCGAGTGTCGCGCCTGATCGCCACAGAGGAGACAGCTCGCACCTCCTGCGCAATGTATGACAATTCATCCTCAAAAGATGGAGGGATGAAAAGAGAGGCCTGTTTAATGCCGAGGTTTTCTTATAAGCCAAATTTTCTTTCTGTAATATTCAGTTTTATCTGCTATAACTCGAAAATACTGTACGTTTAATTATCTCTTCCACTGATACCTATTTTGCACTTGCAGTAATCCTGCTTTCCGTCCAAGCTCTCCATGACGTAAACCAGTAGAACACGCAAAAACCTAACTTAAATAGTACCGCCTCCATAAGGTTTGCACCTGGTGTCATTCACGCAATTTTTCTTAGTAGATCACGCGCAAAACGCACACCAACCAAACGTGTAGTTTGTTGAAACAAACATGCAATTCAGTACTCTTTAATTGGGATCTTAGTAAATCAGGCCCATAGTCCATTTAAAAGTTGGCCCCATACCCCAACTGTTAACATGGTGGAGGTGAGGCTTATAAATTATACTGCAGCCTGTCAGCCAGGGGGAGTTCTACATTTTCTTCACTCACTTCTTTGGAGCTGTGTGGCCGTCCATATGTTCTTTCATACAGTCTATGACATAGAATAATAAGACGATGGAAGGATATGTGTATTGCATCATGCTTATTAGAGCAATCCTTTCTAAGAGTATTACTCACCCCACCAAGGTCGAGAGTGTTCATCCCTACTGTGTCAGGGCAGAAAGTGGGCCACCCAATGTGGGCCTACAGGCAACTCGTGCAGCCTGTCAGTAGGGTGTTGTTTTCTTGCTCCATCTGATCCAGCATGAACTTTGACGGGTCCTTCTGACAGCTATGGGCTCTGCTCTGACTCATTACTGTGACTGACCCATTAGCATCTCATTCCAGCAAGCCAGCCGTGGCAGACTACCCTATGGGAAGCACTGAGCCACTCGCATGCTGGTTCTGCACTTTTCTCTGTTCATCCTGCTCCCGCAACACTAGCAAATCTACTTCTCAATGCATTTATCCTCACCTCTATTGCTCAGGATTAAAAGCCATTACTGTGCATGCGCAGGAAAGGCAGCATGTGTCACACTTATTCATACTGCAAGGGGCTAAAAATATTCCCTCTGATGTTGCTGTGATGCAACAGGCCCACGTCATCACAACATTTAAAAGGAGTCCACGGTGTATTTGAAATGAAAGGATTATTGACATGGGGATGTTTCTTTGCTAGTCCAAAAATAGCTTCTATTTTGCCAGAAGAGAACCCTCTTTTGTTGTTTGCAGAACATTCGCGCATCTGCAATGTTAATGTAAGAAGACAGTCATCATATTGAACGAGAGTATGATCGCCTTTTTGTTCACTACATTCAAAAAAAGCACGTTCCTCAACGTCAGCCTAGCCCTTTGTAATTGGTCGCTAATTACTGTCATGAAAAATGTGTTTGAGTACCACCAACTTCTAATTCTGGCCCGATATTAAGAATGCATGATAGATGTGAGTGATCCATTATTAATGGACTCAAGAATGAACTCTGAATGGGTAATATCATTTTGCAAAAGAGGATTAAATATGGATAGAGAGAATATAGCTACTAATGCTCCCCAGAGAGTAACGCACAGCAAACGGACGTCATGAATCATCATCAGAATTAATGATTCTTCTTTTGACTTTGTGTAGAAGTGCAGAGGGAGCATGGGTAATAGAAGGGATACAATTCCAACATTCATAATAAAGACTTGTATTGTTTCATGCTCATTATATGAGCAAATAAACAAAAACTGACTCTGTTTCATCTCTTTTTGTTTTCATCAGTCTCCGTACTTCTGGCCTTCAAACTGTTGGGAGCCCGAGAACACAGACTACGGTGAGTCACACGCTGTCTCTCAATTTTTAGCCTCATTCTTCATACCAGTAAAATCTTGATTTTGCCTGCGGCCGTGCCATTTCTTTCAGAGCTGAAAGACAGCTCATGCTGCAGATCTGTTGTTGACACTCACTGAGTATCGATCCACTGGGCCATTCCCTGTAATGTATCTGGCCCTGAGGAACACCTACTACGAAAACTCCTTAGGGACAAGACTAGCCAAACAAAATAAAGGGACAGTCACTGACAGGAGCACTGATTCTTTTCTCTGTAGCTGTAACCTCAGTTAATCCACTGAAAATATAAAGTTCTATATTTACAAAGCAGACAGCCCATCCATCATACTCCACATGTCTCACTCTTTCTCTCGTTTCTCCTCCTTCCTCCAGCCATTTACCTGTGCAAGCGCACCATGCAGAATAAGGCCAGACTGGAGCTAGCCGACTATGAGGCTGTGAGTAATCTGTCATTTTGGTTTTGCCATTTCCTGGAAGCTTATAGTTCGTTGCTATCACATGAGCTCGGGCCGTTATATGATAATACTCTGATTTTTTTTACGGTGATCTTTTACTTGCTGTTAAACAAACAAGCTGAAACAGAAACCGGCTTTCAAAAGTCAAAATTGGCTTAAAACAGCAAAAAAAAAAGCTTGATCAAATCTGTCAAAGTCTTTTCACAGCAGCACCATTCGGCTGAAAACAGTACAGTCACTGACCTTCTCAAAAATATGTGCCAACACATCTATAAGCCTACCTGGAATCAGCAGATCAATACAGTCTCAAGAGGGGCATTACTGCAGTGCTGATCTCCTGCTGTTATATAATAGCAATGCACTGCTCTTCAATATTTTAAATTATTCTGCAACTGTTGTCCAGTACACTTCCTTTCTCTATAATTCAGGTCACTTCATGACTCCAGGCTTCATTGCTCTCACTGTACACTGACCTGATAGTTGGTAATTAATTACTTCTCCTTAATGAATGTGTCTTTGACAGATGCTAGATCAGGCAGTCTTTTTAAGTATGCACTTAATATTACATGGCTTTCACAGCTTTACATTTTAGAGCTTTCGAGCCATAATTTTAATTATAGTAAGAGTAAGAAATAAAACACTTGGAATTATTGACAGGGAATGTTTGTTTGCTATCGATAAATGAATTTAAACTGAATACTGTAAATCTGAAGCATTTGCTATCAGCAAGTTAGCTTAGCTTAACACAAAAACTGGAAACAATACTAACATGGCTTGGTTCAAGGGTTAAAAAAAATTAGCAGCACCTTAATAGGGTCACTTAATTAACGTTTTACCTTGTTTCTGTAAAACATGAAGAAACTTCAGATTTCCGGAAGCTAATGATCTTGGCTAACAAATTGAATAAGCCACAACCACTCATGAAACTCACAATTTTTAGGCTCTTTAAGTGTTGATTTTGGAAAAAAGTAATTAGACACAACATGTTATCTGGTGATATTAACTAGTAGGCAAATTTTGTTAGCTTTGGACAGAGCCATGCTAGCCTGTTTCCAGCCTATATGCTAAGCTAACCGGCTGCTTGTTTCAGCTTCAGATTGACTGCACACATGCAGCAGGATAGAGTCAATCTTTTAAAATCTCAGCAGAATAATGTAATTCCAAAAAGTTTGAGAGCATTAAAGTTATTACATGGATTTCAATAACATGTTACACAAAAAGTGTCTCTGTATGAAAGTCAAATTACTGTCTGGCAGCAGAGGTTTACCAAATGTTCAAGGACACCTTTGTTGAGAGGCCGTTTCATCTCATCAACAGTAATCCAAAGTCATGGCACGCCATCACAGTGAATGGATAATGTAATCATCTGAAGGCCTTGAATTCAAATAACCTCCTCCACTAACGGCTCGTCTGATTGGTTCCTGTAGGAGAACCTCGCCCGGCTGCAGAGGGCCTTCGCCAGGAAGTGGGAATTTATCTTCATGCAAGCTGAGGCTCAAGTCAAGTGAGTATACATGTTAATGGGATTTACAACATGCCACCTCTTGACATAAGCGTGACACACACTGCTGTCAGGGCCCAGAGAGTTAAGTTTATGTATTCATATTCATATATTTCTAACCTTTCGCTTCATGCATGACTTGAGAGTTATTTCCCAGAGGAAGAGGTAATGCTTTGTGTGCCGTGTACGTTTGGTGCTGCGCCAATTCTTGCTCATTAACAATGCTGTGCTTATGGCCTGCTTTGACTGGAGGGTTACATGCATCAAATCCAGCAAGTATTCCCTTGTGGAATTAAGCACACACACAATCCTGCAAACTTCTGTCTTTTAGTTAGACTTCCATCTGGTGGCCTGTGTGTGTAATCACAGCACTAATAACTCAAGTCACTCAGTCAGGAAGAAGCTACAGTTATTGTCAAGAAATAGTTCATAAAGTCATGCCATTGTTGGGTAGCTGCTGGTTTGTGATACTGAAAAAAAAGAGGTCATCTGATATCTGCAGAGTAAACACGTCATTTCAAATACGGATCAGTAAATGTCTGTTGTGTAAGAGCTCGGCCCCACCAGCAGCAAAGCCAGACATGGGCAGGTGAGGTGAACAGAAAGGTTGAGACACACACTCTTTGGCTTTTTGCTCTCAAATCTGCCTCGTTGTTGTTACATGTGTGTGTTTGTGAGAGTGTGTGACTACATCGTATGACCTGACTTATTGGGTTTGACCTGAGCGGTCTGCGTTGTATGTTCACAGGATCGACAGGAAGAAGGACAAGGCAGAGAGGAAGATTCTGGACAGCCAGGAGAGGGCGTTCTGGGATGTTCATCGCCCAGTGGTGAGTTGGTGAATGGTGAAACCATGAAAAAAGAAAAACAAGAGAAGAGAGAGATTTTAAAAAATCCTTTATTTAAATTACTAACATTTTGGAATAACATCTGCAAATGTGATTCAGAGTCTTTCGACGAAAAAAGTTCGACTTCATAATCACACTTTTTTTCAAAAACATCCAACTTTCTATTTTATGATACTTGTATTCCAACAACATTCGAGATTTAACAGTGTGTGAGAGAGAGAGAGAGAGAGCGAGAGAGAGAGAGAGAGAGAGAAAGAGAGAGAGAGAGTGAGAGAGCTGCTTGCACTGTATAAAATGGAAACGATCAAAAAAGGAAAAAAAGGACGGTGTTGCATTCAAAGCTTGTTAACATCAGTTTCAGTTCCACACACTGTTCAGCTAAGACCCCTGGGTAATCTTTATAGAATCAGAGCTGTGGATTTGCATATCGGCTCTTTGTGACTGTGAAGAGAAACAGCGTTGTGTTGTGTGAGTAAGATACACATAGACAATCCAAGCTGTAGAAACACTGTTATCTGACACAGAAACAACCCTCTGTCTTGTGCCACCTCCCACAGCCAGGCTGTGTCAACACCACAGAGATGGACATCCGCAAGTGCCGGAGAGAGAGGAACCCACACAGGGTAAAAAAGGTGAGCAGAGGATACAAAGCAAGCTCCTGCGATACATGACATCCAGCTTCAACAAATCTTATATTATAATTGCCACAGTGTATTTTTGTTGTTGTTGTTGTTGTTTTAGCAAACTTCTCATCCCACTCACTACCACACAGGGCTTCAGCCAAAAGCCTAAACCTAACCCCCAGATGTATGACATGAATATTTTTGGGGTAAATTCAGGAAAAGGGAAATTCAATGACTAAAATCTGAATTATATTTCAAATAAAATAAATGAAAAACATGTTTGGTTATTGATAAAAACATATGTATGAAATATTTTTTGCATGTTTGTTAAGTTATTTTAATTACAAAAATCTTTATGTACTTTTTGGGTCGGATCTGAAATCCGCCATGTAAATAAACCAAAATAACAACTTTAAAAAATAAACATTTGTTTTGTTATGAATGAAAAATAATCCCTGAGAGGAAAGTGAGAATAAAACATTTTAGTCATGTTACATAACTTAGTGTTATATAATACTTTGAGTTTACCGTGCAGAGTGAAATGAAAACATGATTTCTATAAGTGCTGGCTAGAATGATTTGACTTGTTTCCTCCAGTAAAAGTAGAAACAAAAAGAATAATGTATTTTCCTTTTTTTCCCACAGGTAGAATAAATGGTAATAAACTTTATTCAAACTAATTAGAACAGGAGAGAGAAAGAATCACCAGAATTGTTTTGTAAATTATCTGTAAGGTTTTCATCGAAAAATACATACAATTATGCAGAGTTCATAAAATATTTTTTTCTGAAAATACTGAATAAATGTCTATAAATATGAACACCAATCCAGATCATTAACTGAAGTAGTTAAAAATGAAATATTAATTATTCATTCAACGTGTATAATTTGTGTGTAAATGTGGTAATAAGCAACATGAACATTGCGATGGAAAGATAAACACATCCTGGATGATGCTAGCCTAAAATTAGACCTGTTCCTAGTTCTCCTCACAGTGGCGCTGTGATTGGCTAGTTACATGCAAGCTAATGCTGATTGGACACAAATATGGCCCCAGACACACAGATCAGTCATTCAAAGGAACACTCCAATTCAATTTAGTTAATGACAGGCTAGGTTAGAAATGTGTTATTTTTAACCAACATTAAAATGAAAAAAGGTTATGTACCGTATCGTTAAGGACATGACCTCAGTATGGGAAATCGGACCAAGGTCCAAAAATATTACCCATCATTCATCAAATTGCAGTTTAGCTGTGTTTAAACTTTCTCTCCTTTCTTATTCAGTCTGTTTACGGGGTACCAGACGACGGCCAGAGCCAGCCGAGTCCAGTCCACATCAGCTCCCAGCCCACCAGGAAGACCACCAAAGAGGACGTTCAGAAGGAGGTGAGTGATGGAGTGACAGTATTCACAGAGGCCGTTACCACAGTGTGCCTCACACATCCATCATAACGACGGTCAGGGACGCAGACTGATGGGCTGTTCCCTTATTTAGATTCCTCATTACTCTTTCTCTTCACCAGATTACCTTCTTGAACAGCCAGCTGGACAGACACTGTATGAAGGTTTCCAAAGTGGCAGACAGTCTGATGGGCTACACAGAGCAGTTTATGGAATATGACCCCTTTGTGTCAACAACAGAGCCCTCTAACCCCTGGATCAACGACGACACGTCTTTCTGGGACGTGGAGGCGAGGTGAGACAACATGTGGAAGAAACTTGTAAACATGAACTCTTTTTGGTCTCTGTATATTTGATTCCTCATTAATCTGTTTCATTGAAAAGCAGTCGAGACCCCAGCCAGCAGCGAGTGAAGAAATGGGGCTTTTCTCTGGAGGAGGCGCTGAAAGATCCAGCAGGGAGAGACCAGTTCCTGAAGTTCTTGGAGTCAGAGTTCAGCTCAGAGAACCTGCGGTGAGGCTGTCATAGTACATTTTAAATTAAAAATCTATAACAAATCTTTTCTTCATATCACTGGTCACTTGTAAAGTGGAGGTACATTGGATAATTGCTGGACTTCAGTGCCCACTATTTTCTTTTTAGCATCTTCCTGCTTCTTTCCTGCGTCTGTTTGTTTGTTGTTATCACCTGCAATTATTCGGTTTTGTTTCAATCTAATTGCTTGCATTCAGGCACAGATGTTTACAGTATAAAAAAACAATCTCCCAAGAAAACAGTAGGTGAAGTTAGTGTATTTTAAATAAGATATTGTTTTTTTTTCTTTAAGAATTATTTTAAGGCTTTTTATGCCTTTATTGTAGAGACATCACAGGGGATAGAGTGAGAAAAAGGGGAATGTAAATGCATGAAAGTAGCCAAAGGTCGGTTTTGAACCCGGGCTGCCAGCGTCGAGTACTACAGCTTCTGTACATGGGACTGGCTCTGACCACAAGGCCACCAGTGACATAGATATTGTATTTAATGTACTCTAATGCCACATTAATGTTGCAGCTTTAGTGAATTCACTGATTAAGATTTCATCAAATCATTGCATCAAATATGATTCAATGTTTTATTATTTTTTTCAGTCAAATTTTAAAATGCTGCTTTCCTTTTGTCCTACTGCATTAAAATCCAGCTTTATGTTTATACATTATATTATGATATGTTGTTAATAATGACTTTAAGTTTATGATACTTGAGGTAAACTACTACTGACCACTTATTCAATGCCATTACAGATTCTGGTTAGCGGTGCAGGATCTAAAGCGACGGCCGCTTCAGGACGTGTCATCCCGAGCTCAGGAGATCTGGCAGGAGTTTCTTGCCGAGGGAGCACCGAGCTCCATCAACCTGGACTCTCACAGCTACGAGCGGACCAGCCAGAACCTGAAAGACCCCGGACGCTACAGCTACGAGGATGCTCAGGTGGACTGTGATGTTTCTCTCTCGTGGCTGGATTCACATCATGCATACATGACCGCAGACACACGAATACACGCTTTAGCTAGTCTAAAAAAAAAACACCAGGGACACAGTGTGCCAGCACACCTGCGTCCATGCACGAAAAGAAAAAAAAGATCACTTCTAGTGCTGAATAGAAAGCAAATAATGGAACAAAATGTGCTGAAAGTGAAGCCTTTATCATAAGTAAAAGGTGCTTTCACTGACTTTAGATGGGTTTCCTCTCCACATCCCTGTTTATACACAAACACACACATCAGCTGTTGATTTCCTCTCCCATCCACTTGCCCACAGAAACACAGAACCCCTCCACCCCACTCATGTTACTGAAGAGTTTGACTGAGAGGCCACAGAGGAACACAGAGAGAGAGAGGAGAGAAGAATGATGGAGTATGTTTGTGCCTGCGCCTAATGAGGCGAGTAATGCCATGAATAGGTTGTTCGCTCGGCTCACCATGGATTCCGCTGCATCAGAGTGGGTTGGTGATGGGTGACGTGGGACGCCTCTCTCTGGCGGGACAGCCCTCAGCTCTGTCTAACACGACCCAGCCGTTCATATCAGCACACATATAGTTTGCCTCAGCCCCCTTTGAGTCACACAAACATACATCCAATTACAACTTTCAGACCTCTGCTATTCTTCCACTTAGAGTGACCTTCTCGTGACCTTTCCTTCCAGGCCAACACGCACTCATGAGCTTTTCTTTCTCTTGCAGGAGCACATATTCAAGCTAATGAAAAGTGACAGCTATGCACGCTTTTTGCGATCCAACATCTACCAAGACCTCCTGTTAGCCAGGAAGAAGGTGAGCTGCACTCACTGACCCCTATGTCGACTCTTTCTTTTGTCACTTTTAATATATTGATTTACTCATGTTTTTATGATTGAGATTCATATTCATATGTAATTAGTCAGCAATACAGTTCAGGGCCCAATTTTAGCTGCAGAAGTAGTACTGTGGTTCACGTTACACAGGCTTAGGCTCATAATTCAGAACAATCAGGAAGAGAATCTGGTCCATAGTTTCAGAAACAGGATGCTGCTCTGTAGTTAGATTTTTTTTTTTGTTTAAGGTGTCACACTTTCGATTTCAAGTGGGGCCCGAGCCGCCCTCTTTTGCTCAGGCAAAATGACCTGAGCCCATCCAGCTCATCGCACACACCTCTACCCATACAGAATCTGTTACGCTGCATTATTGATGCAAACACAGTACAACTCAGAGATTACGTTTGCTTTTTGTGCCATTTTAGCCAGATGCACCCTAACTTGATCACACACACCTCTATGTTTCAATGAATGACTTACCTAGTGCAAGGTGTCTTTGGCATAGATGTTCCCTGTCTTGAAGTCAGATCACCCCATCATAAAGCATAAACAGCCTCCACATGCTGTAAATGATTTTTTTTTCTTTTAACTGTAAAAAAAAGTCAGTCTTCAGTGCAGGTCTTACATTTCACTGATGGTCCGCAGAACTGTAGCGGAACATGAGGCCTCATGATCTAACAACTGGCCTGTACATATTCATATCGCTTCATCATCCCAGTCAGTTACTACTTTTTTTTTTTCTGCTGCTTGGTAAGAGCGAAGGACTCCCTCTCTGTTCTCAGTCTGAGTCACAGTTTGTCATCATTATTTAATATTAACAAAAAGGATATTTAAGGTGAATGAGTCTCTGTGTTGCTAATGAAGCAGGAAATTCATGTGAATCATTTGCGTTAAAAACAAATGAATATATTAAGGTCTCTAGATTTATTACAAGAGTAAACGTGTTCATGTTCACAGCCCTAAATAATACACAAATATTTACTAAAATATTTTATCCTAAAGAAAGAAAAAAATAGACATCAAAAGTAATATTTTAAAACTTCTGTTTTAGACGAATGAATGATTCTACTCTATAATTGTTTCCGTTCTAATATTTTACAGTTTGATTTACTTTGCAGTAATTCAACTATTGAATCACAATTATAAGCTACTGAACGATATTTTAATGACACCAGCATTAGCCTGACATTTACCAGCCTAAGACCATACATATTAATGTCCAAATGTTTGTCCTAATGATAGAATGCTTATTATTAAGATACTTGAAATGTACAAAATGACTTTTGGTCATTTTTTGCAATACATCTGGGGAAAGCAGAAATATTTCTGTTTATTGTTTTTAGCTTTCATCGGTAATCTGAGTGCATTTAAGTGTGAGTAAAAGGCGGCAGCTTTAATGTCATTTGGCAGAATTCATTAACTCTTAAAAAGGTCTGGCAATCAGTGATTTGATGCTTTGATGACACTTCTAACAGAGCCCCAAAAGGCAAACCCGCTGTGCTCAAGATGCAGGTGCAAGGAAACAGCTAAATAATGTAAAATGTCAAATGAACTGTATGAAAAAAACATGACATCATATGCCAAACACAGACTAACTGCTGGGTTCAATAGGACTGACATGCTGAAAGTAAGATTTTTCTGTTCATGCTGTAGATTCGACTTGCACATCTAAACAAATGTAGCTGTTTCTATGTAATGTGGAGCATTTCAGAGAATCATAGCTGCCTGTGTTCATGCTAGCCTCTCTGCCCTCTCCTGTTCAAACACTGCTCCTCTTGCTGGCCTGTCACTGACCCCGCTCCATTTTTCTTAAAAAAATGCAACTCCCACATTGTCCATGGCCTTCACTTTTGCAATGCTTGGCCTCCCTTTTTTTTTTTTTTTTAACCCTACTGACCACACCACCCCCAACCCCCCACGCTACACCCGTACCTGACCCAAAACACTCACCCTGCTTCCCCCCCTCCCAAAACAGCAGCCAGCAGACACTGAACAGGGCCGCCGCACCTCCCTGGAGAAGTTCACCCGCAGTGTGGTAAGTCATTTGGAGCTGGGGCTGTTCATATCACAAACCACACTGGCTGGCTCACTATCAGTGGCTTTTTAACCATTTTACACTCTATTGGGGTTCTGTACCTGTAACAGGATGTGTTTGTGCATAACATACAAGTCACATAAATGGATAATCTAATACCCAGACTTTTAGGTTAAAAAAATCACCTTGTTTTTTGAAGATTTTGTATGATTTATAAAGTTCTTTCATTTTCCAAGCCTAGTAATGTGTTTTTAATTGATCTTCTAGGGAAAGTCACTGACTGGGAAGCGCCTGACAGGCCTGATGCAGTCGTCCTGACACTTCCCGTGTAGCAGGACTACAGCCGGACACTATCGGGGGGTCCATCGCCGCACAGGGTCACAGACAGTGGAGCTGGGCTGGACAAGACTGCTGTGGAGGCTCTCAGACACTGCTCCGAGGACTGCTGTCTTACTGGTAGTACTGATGCAGCACTGGGCCTGATTGGGCCCCAAACAGAACCACAAAGGATAAAGACAATTATGACAAAGGAAGCCTCAATCAACACACCACATGGCATGCAGCATACAGTATAAGCACATTCAGACAAGGCTTAGTCTGCAAAGAGTCAACTAAGCTGACCAGTTTGTGTTGTCCTTTTTTTTTTTGTACGTGTGTGTTGGAAATGAAAAGCATCTATTTAGTATTATAATAATATTCTTTGATACATTTGCGCCGCAACATAAGCAATGAATACAATTGGTTACGTTTTCCTCAAATAGCTGGGGTCATTTCAAACTCAGATACACTTTAATAAAAGATGCACATCCAAACTTCTACAGAACTATAATACTCTGCATACGCTCTATAATCAGGAGGCAACGAGCAATAAATAAAGCATATGTGGATTGTATTTTTAGAAAATATATCCAAACTCTTTTTATATGTTTGAAATTTCTAATATCTGTTCATTATAAAGCGCTTGCCATTTAAGTCAGACTTTGGCAGAAATGAAGACTATAGAGTTTGTTTATCCCAATTTCTTCTTTTTGTTAAATTAGGTCCTGAAAACTGGAGTTTGTGAAGGTATAATTTTCATGCTTCATTACATTCCAAAAATCTGGCATAAGGGCTTAATGTAGCTTCACACTGCTCTGCTGCATGTGTCAGCCAAACTGTCTTTGTCGAGGATTAGTTTTTGTTTTCTGCAGCAGTGCTTTGTAATGACACATATATGTGCAAAGACAGACTGAACAATGCTTCCACAACTTCCAGGCCTCAAGTTCCAGAATGTTCAGACTGGCAAAATGGAATTCATATATTTGAAAAGTCTGTGGGAAAAACTGCAACGCTTCAACACAAAGATCACCCACATGGTTTTACTTTAGTCTCTGCAGAAAGAGCATTTACATGCTTTTGGGCTCCTTCTAGATGGGTAGGCTTCAAGTTTCCAGTGCCATGGGTCCATCTAGTGGTGGTTAAACCACAGGACCAGCAACAGAGTGTTAAGGGATTTTATTGAGTTGTGGTCAAATTATGATGTCAAAACTTGTTATTTTATGATGTTGGAGATATGAAAAGGCCTGCAGCCTATTACTCATGAGTCATGTTTTGTTTTTTACTGCATTAATATTTCATTTTTTTTACTTTAAACTAAAAAAAAAAAAAAAACTGCCAACATTTTTCTTGGCAAAATGTGTTCTGTGATTCTCCACCTAATAATCGTCATATGTTTAAATGATTGTGGGGGAAATGGTGCATGCTAATGGGCCATGATATGAGTTAACTTAGGGGACAAATGGGCCACTCTCCAAAGACGGACATCTGAACTGGACATCACTCCCCAATGATTGGACATGAAATAACTGAAATGCAACCCGGAAACCATACTTGACCCCGTCATGAACGCCAAACTGTGCTCTGCTGTGGGTCTACACTTTTCCAAACAGGAAGTGGTTGGCCTGAGGGTTTTTGGTTTCACAGCTCCCCTAGGAGGCCGGTGACTGCTACAGTGACACTGCTGAATGGTTGAATCCTCTATTATTTTCTATTAGAGTTGTTGCAATGCACTGTACATGTCATATTAATCATAAATGTTATCAATACCAATAACCTCTTGAGTAGAGAGAGATGCTTAACTCGAGTTGATGTACCAAATGTTATTCTCAGCACAAACACAATGACACTATGTACAGGGTGCATTGTAGATGTAAATTGGCTAAATGTCATTATCCAAGAGCACACTTTATTATTATTACGGTATGAGCACATTACTATGCATGTAACATATTCAGGGCATTTTGTGCTTTTAGTTTCTCAATCAGCAGAACAACTACTGGCACACCAAAACACTCAAGCACCTGCTATCTATAATGGGTACCAAAAAATAAAAACCTGTCTGTCCAGTGCACCTCTTTGTGTGTGTGTGTGTGTGTGTGTGTGGCGTTCTGCCTTAGAAACAGAGTTCTGCAGTTGTCCTCAAGCATGCAAATATGTAACCGGCATAAAAACATTTCTTTATTAGTTGCCTATATGCAAACTGGGGCTACAGACACAGCTGCAGAAATATTAGTTTTTGCAAAATGTAATTTAATCCAGTAAAAGTATTTTCTTTATTTTTATTTCTTACGTGTTAACTGCAAATATGGAACCTCTAGACAAGATACAATAGTAGGCATTCACACCAGAAGCAAAACTGAGCATTACCCGTGATTAACATCAATACTTTCATTTATTAATAGTCTATAGTGTAGCTATGGGTGATGAGCTACCATTAGCATAGCGACTACAATTGAATCAAAACATTACTTAATTCCCTTTTAAAATACTTGTAAAACACTGATAAATAAGTTACTTTCGGAGCTACGCTACAAAAGCTAACCTAAGGAGAAGTTGCGTCTCAGTAAAAGAAAATAGCCTAAGAGTTGTTAAATGTCGAACATTTTTATTTTGAACCAGTTAAATGAATTGTACGGAAGCTATTGTGTGTAGCAGTTAATGAACTGTGTCACTAATGAGCTGCATCATAGGTGACATGGCTTGGTTGATTTGAGAGAGGAACAGAAAGATAGGTAGAGAGAAAGGCAGAGATCCAGCTCAGCAAGAGGAGAATGAAAAGCTCCAACAACATCCTGCCAGTGAGGGACCCCCTGAATCCCCGCTTAACCAGGAGGCTGTGCTCATTGCTGGCTGGCAGGACTGTGGCAGGTAGAGCACCCAAGATATTTGTAAGCCAAATGGCTGTACCTGGCACTGAGGCCTGTGGCCCCAGCCTCAATTTGTGGCTAAGATTTCATTCCATTTAGGCTATTAGTGAAGACAAGCTATTCCACAGTCTCATGCTGAAGTTGTTTATAACCTATATCCCTTATTCCTATAAGTATATTATCCAATTTACTGATCTACTTTACTGCACCTTTGTAATATTATACTGCCCCTCTGCTATCGACTTATATGACCCATTTAACAGGACTCACATGAAACAAGCTCCCATGATAGAAGAGCTTACTGACACACTTATAACTTCTCCACTTTACACCTGAGGTTAACATTCAGAGCGCTTAGAGCCAACAGTAAAAATGCCTACTGTATCTGTTGTTGGACAGACTACCGTGAGATATAAATTTAGGGATTTCTCAAGCAGCACTAACAAATCAATAGGTGTATTTGTTGAGGCCTCAATTTGTTATGTTCATATGTAGTCCACAGCTAGCACTGCTTTCTCGAGTTTGAGTGTTTTTTTTTTTTCCCTTTGTCTGCTCTCATTCTGACCAATTGATCTGGTCTAGGAGTATTCTGCTGGTCAGCGACCTTGTTTTTTTAAAATGACCCTTGATCTGGAGAGGAAAAAAAACCCCAGCAAAGATTACCATTCTTTTTTTAAGCTTTATTTTTTTCAGAACAATAAAAATAGTTTAACAAACAAACACTTCTTTATTCTCTCCATTTCCCCTCATATTTACAGCTGAAGATGAAACAAAACGCCCAGTCAAGTCCATTTCATCTCCTCTTGGCTCCGATCCCACCCTGATCGTCCCTCTCCACCCCCCCCCCTGCAGGCTTGACAGGAGAGTACCATGGCCTATTGCTGTCTTTGACGAGGTATACAGGCTATTCAATGATTGGTGACACATTAGGCTACTTGAAGCAGACATCGCTAACTTTTGCATTGAGGACCTTCTCCTTTTGTTCAGAGCTGCACCACCTGTTCATAAACAGCAGGTATAGGTAACATTAAGCAAGTAAAGAGTGATGACACATGCTTTCACTTTCAGGCATGACTTTGGAAGATTTAAAGACACAATGACCCATTTCACTGCAGAGACACTGCATATCTGACACAAGAGAAGACCAGGTAATAGAGAAGTCTCAGATCCATTCTTCACCCAGAGGAGATAAACTGCTGTGTGGACAAGGGTCCCTGAGGGAAGTGAAGAAATATGGTTTGAATGCAACAAGTCATATATACACACATAGGATTAATGGTTAGCTTCAAAAAACAGAGCGGTAGTTATTACATTGCAGCAATACTGAATATTCACACTGAAGGACACAAACCTCTTACACAGTATCAGCAACCTGTGGACCTAAAAGGCTTTTTTGATAAAAGAACTTCAAGCACCTTCTAAATGTCATAAAGCAATCAGGCCCTCGAAAGCACTCAGCGGAAATGTCACACAGAACATGAACTTACAGTTTTTCGCTTTTTACTAAGTGTTTATCAGAGATGATTCTCACTATTCACGATCTACAAACACAGTTGATTTCAAAGAGAGAGGAGAGGTTTAGCATTATGAGTAAGACACCGGAGTATGACACAGATGAAGCTTGTTATTGCAAGGTTTTCCCGAAAGCATGAGACAGCAGAATCCCGACCTCCTCCTGGGAGTTGATTACGATTGGATCCTTGTGTGGCGTCATTGTCCCTCTGTGCAAACTGAATACAATCAGTTGAATCAGGGCTGAACAATCAACAGCAGAGGAAATGAAAGATGCCTGAGTAGTTGTGGCTTTTGTGCACCTGATCAGGACAGAGGTATCGATTCAGTCTGAACAAACCCAAGGAGTCGTATTAATCAAACAGAGTTCAAACATAGAAATATTTTACAACAGAGAAAAGATGCAAAAAAAAATGAGCTATATTACTGCGACTCATTCGAAGAAGAGAGAAGCAGACGTAGGGACAGAAGCAGAGATAAAACCTTTGCGTCAGAGTAGTGCAGAGGTCTGCAAGTAATATTGGTGGATTTGAGCACCATCTCTATGGCTGAGGGGTCAGGGGGGGTCACTGGTCCAATCAGGTTGGAGGGTCATGGCTGTCAGAGCTGGTTTCCAGTGCAGAGAAGCAGGCTGGCACAGTGATGAGGATAATGACGTCTTAGTGTCACATCGGATCACACAGCACATACAGTCACAGAGCGGGAGCAGGCAGACTGGGCCCCAAATGCACCCAATGGGCACAAACAGCCCAAAGGCCTGGCCTTTAGTGTTCCCATAGTCCAGTGGAGCTCCAGCACAGTGCAGGGAGGATGAAATGAAGCTGGATGTACTCACATTTCAAATGTTCTGAAGGGATCAATACAAATCATCAGGGGAGCTTTTGCTTCGATTAAGCCTGATGGCCTGAAGAACTGCTGGATGTGCATTCATCAGTTTCAGTCCGTTATTTTAGGCCAAAATCAGGAGGGACATGAAGGCTCATTAGTTTTGAGAGATAAAAATCCTCTTCTTCACTTGTCACCCCCACTGCTGGGCCACATGCCAATGTGCTGAGTGCTTCTACAGTAAATAACACAGACAACATGGGTTAAACTCAAGAAGAATATGTCTGAACAATAATATCTGCTCCTCCAAAGTGTCAGCTAAACATCAGCATGGTAACATGTTCACAACGATGACACCAACATGATCTTTAGCAGGTGAACTTTTAACCATTTTGAGCAACTCACTTTAGCTTGATAGTATGTTTACGGTTGCTAATTGTGTTTAAACCAAGTGGCAACCTTTGGTGTTGGATAAGCCAATATGGAAGTGCATAAAACTGCAGTTCCTCGAGCGTCCACTTGAGATTGGCAGCAAAAGCCCCAGAAGTCACATATACACCCCTGTTAAAATGCCCATTTTGACAGCAGAAATAAACATGTTAAAGGCCAACAATGTTGGTCTGGATATTCCATGTCTTTATCAGCACACAGTGTACAGGTGTGATTTTTTGTATGAGACATCCATCTTGATTTGATGAAGAATAAGAGTTATGCATAATTAGGGGTGTGACTGATATGACTACAAGCAGGTTTGTTGTAGGCGTTTGCCAGGAGGCTTAAGGCCCACCTCAACAACTTGTCAATCATCTGCAAAATGTCATTTTTCAAATAAAGACAGAAAACCTTATTGCTTACCTTTAATTTAAATATATCTGTAAAGACTTAATCTACGTGATTCTTCATCTCCAAACATTTTCCAGTGGCTTTGGAAGTCCATTCATAAGATCCTTCATTTTCATACAAGTTTAATCCAGAGTTAGAGCAGAAAAAAAAAAAAAAAAAGACCTTCATCGTCACAGCGACTACTGATTCAAAAACATCCAGTAGCTTACGTAGGAGTCTAAAATGACATTCAATCAGCTCCCAAATACACTTTTTGGGAGATGATTTAACACCAATGTATTTTAAGTTTGCAAATGTTCAGATTTCTCCAGTGTTTTTTGTTCAAATAGTTTATGCTCCTTCTGCTCCAGTGGAGGAGGAAAAAAAACACTCCAAAAACATCTTCATCTTCTGTTTTGCATGGAGACCAAGTCACCTGTCAAAAACACTGACAGTCGTTCATAGCCTTTAAAGTTAATATATATATTTATATATAAAAAGGTGTTCATAAATTATTCAACAATGTTCAGTAGATAAAATACCACTTGTATTTCTGTCCTGAAATGATCACTTTGTGCTTTCCGCAAACACGAACAAAAAAAAAAAAAAAAAAAACATCGAAAAAGAAGCAGCAGATTTTTGCCAGAGGTTAATCCTTATAAAAAGAAAAAAAGTCTTTAAATCTAAAAGGTTTTCTCTATCTGTGACGGTTAGTTATTCCGTTGCCGTTTGTGCCGGGCTCTTCCAGCTCATCGTCCTCAAAGCCGTGAAAGGTGGAGGTGTCGCTCTCAGAGGTGGTGCCAAACAGCTCCTCTGCTCCAGCAAAGGTCCCGTCGTCTTTCTCTTCTCCACAGTCAGCTGCACACAGGAGAGGGATGACGAGCAAGACGTGCATTTTGTTTGTATGTTATACGTTTGTGTATGTGGACTCACTTGTGCATCGACAGGTCGAGAAGGGAGACCCCGTTTTACCCGTTTTCTTGACCGAGCCCTGGCATTTAGTACAGTAGTTGTTGGGAATGCTGGTCCCACCTGGACCCTTTGGACCTGCAAGGAAATCCCACCCCAACAAAAAAGAAAGCACAATCAGTTTTACACTGGGTAATATTGGGCAGGTCAAACTTTTTTTTTTAACAACTTTGAATTGCATCTTACTTAGCTCTATATAAACTGTGCCTTTTGTAAATGTTTTACATATGATGCAGCTCATTAGTGACACAGTTTTACTTATTTAATTTGCTTTACTATTAATTTAAGAGATATACTGTAGACTTGTATTATAGATTTCTAGTCTAATTTTTCCCTCTATTTTTTCTTTCTGATCTCTTGATTATGTGGATATCATTTTGGTGTCCAGCATTGCTTGGGCAGGCTTCAAGTTGACCACTTTGTTTTTCACTCCAATTTTTCATTCGCTTTGAACTCGAGCTAAAGTCGTAGAGATACACGTTTCTAAATAGTGCTCTCTTTTATAGAGTCTTGCCTTTAAAAATTGAAAAATGCCAAAGCCAAATTCTGTTAGAAATAATGTTCTGATAAAAGTAGTACTGAAGCAGTCATCCTTTAAATATGACAGAATTCAGAGCCAACTTGTAACATTTCTTGTAAGTTGTTCATTTCACAGTATTGTTAAGTAGAACAATGAGACATTCAGTGCACAATAGTGAGTAACTGTTGGATTAAATCAATCAAACATCATGAGACATTATATCCAGCAGTGCAGTTTAACTTCTCACGTTTGTGTCTGTCAGTCTGCTGTACAGACGGGGGTCTGGTTGCCACGGAGCTCCTCCCTCCGGCCCGCTGGTCCTCTGCCAGGTGGGAATGGGTGTAGTGGTAGCTTAGTCCTGTACGGTTCCTGTAGCGCTTTGCACAGACTGCAACAGACGGCACACGTTCAGTCTCTCTGCATTTTAGTTTCTAATATGATATAGTTATACATCTGACATTTTTCCTCATGTCTGACCACTTGTGTTTACAGTGTCAGTGTTGTCTGTAAGTTTGAAATCAACACAACATGAAGGAAAAATGAAACAGGTCTTATGGTTATAAATCACTGAAAAAGGGATTCATTCAAGAGTTTGGTTACCAAAGTCACCCCACATAAAACCAACACAGACAACAGAATTAGGCCCCATGTTTGGGAAGAAAAGACGCTGGGCGCCACGCTTTTTCTCCAAGGGCCCGCTTTCTGCTGAGAACGCTCTCTACTCATTGAAAACAATTGGAAAAAGAGTCGCTGGAGCTCAGGAAAAAAACACTAGGTGGACACGGGGCCTAACATGGTCTCATTTCACAACCACTCTTTATGCTCGAGAAAAGCGAGATAATTTGAGGGTCAAATCAATAACCACAGCAGCATTTGTGACACAACCACTCAATAATCCATCTAAGCAGACAACAATCAAACAAAACAACCTCCTGTCACAAAGAGTCAACAGGTCAGGGTACCTGAGGTCGAAGATTTTGAGTTCGGCTTTTGTTTGTATCTGTCTGAAATAGAAAAGACACCAAACAAAGAAAACATCGTGAGTTTGTGACTTCTAAGTAGAGTAAAATCCAATCCTCCCCACTGGAATTTTCCGCATGAAACCTGCATGTAGAGGAACGCTGAAGGCTACAGGGTCACGGGTTCACCTTTTTTTATAGTGTCCTTTATCAAAACTGCTTTTTTTTTTTTTTTTTTTTTAAATCACTTTTTGACCTGTTGATAATTTATGCATGAGACTTGTTATTTGAATGACTATTTCTAACATGTTCTGGAACCAAAATTCACAAGAAATGAAAAAAAAACTACTGATCTTACAGTTTATCAATCTGTTAAAACCTGAAGAAAACTATCCAGTTATATCTTATTAAGAAAGTAAAGAGTCAGTGGAAGTGGAAAAGGGTGTTAATGAAATGAAAAAGGTCAAAGATACAGGAAGACTTTCTGTTTTGAGTGAACAAGATTTAAATACAATATATATTACACTTGTACTCCTATAATAAAAATACTTAAAAATTGCCTGAGGAAAAAACACATGATATCTAATCTAAACTCAACAATGATCACTACAATTAACTTGATTAAATAACGAAACAAACGAAAGCAAAACATGATCACAAACAACACACATGACCCAACACAGCTAAAATATCTGACAATAACTAACAATTATTTTCTGCATATATTATGGATATCTGAATTCTACAGAGAATATTTTTATAATGAATTAGCTTCATGCAATCCTTGGTGTGAGCTTCTTGGTGTGCAGATCTTGTTTTGCGTTCCTTAACTTTCGTGTTTTTTTGGACTCAGAACCCACTGAGGGATGTGCATCGCTCAGAATCTTTTCTGATTTTTCATTTAAATAGTGAAACAAACCTTGTCTTCTGTCACTACTTACTGTCACAGACGTATGGCTTATCATCATCCAGGTCAGTCTTCTTACGGCCTGAACCTCGACCCTGAGGACAAACATCCACATATTATAATGATCAGTATGAAAGTCTTTGCCCAGAGCCTTCTAACATGTACATATAATCCACTGCATCACAGGTTTATATATTACAGCTACAAGTTTACTGTGTAAACTCACAGTAAACTTGTAAACATGACAACAGGAATGTGCTCGGCACTTACTCTTCCTTTTCCCCGATGTCTCCTCTTGGGAGTGTCTACCTCAAAGTCATCATCATCGTTGAAAGCATCTTCTGCTGCGTCAGCTTCCAAAACCCTCTGAAACACGGAGAGAAAGAGGACAGACAGTTACAATAGTCTGATTAAATTCACTTCAGCTCTAAAGACAATCAAAGTGACAGATTTAGTGCATAGTCTATTTTTTGAATTGTATCTTTATAAATGTAATATAAAAGAGTACAGTGTAGGCCTGCTCCTTTTGTAAAGTTTCTTGAGATAACGTGTTATGAATTGGCGCTATACAAATAAAGATTGATGTTTAAAATGGCTTTACATGTGTCTACATGCATGTGTGGTGGAATGGGTGATCTTCCGATATGACTGATCGTGACTTCCAATAAGAAACAACAGAGATCAGCGTGTGTTGTCTCTACAGGGCAACCCATTTAAAACTGAGGAGTCATATGTTTCCCATCTTTATTCATATCATATGGTTACCAAATTAGGATTACCATATTAAATAAACACTTAATGGAAATTCAGACTGAGGCTGTCTACTTGTCTAAAATCTCTCTCTGTGAGGCAGCAGTGAGCTCATGAGCAGGTCAGCTGGAAAAACTTGGCGAGTTGCCTTGACAACTAGTTGGGGCACAACACTTCACCAACAGTGCCAGAGCTCTACATCGTTTGAGCGATATTCCTCTACATTTACGTTAGAAACTATTTAATGGTAATACCTCACCTCAACATTTTAGATGTGTGTGAATAGACGGGGCTAGCTGCCAATGCATTGTCCTTGTTGGGACCACTAATGCTGTCTGAACTGAACTGAACTGAAGATAAATACAAGCACATGTACAGTGGATTGAACTCACCTGGATCTCCAGCAGGCTCTCCTCGTCATTCTTAGAGTTATTCCTCTTTTCAAGACCCTCTCCTCGCAGTAGCGCCTCCAGCGTGGTGCTCTGGGTGGGCAAGCTGTCCTTGGACATGAGGCCGCCATCTGTACAAGACAAAAACAGGCAACGCTTGATACAAAAAAAGACACATTTCTAAAAATAATCCAAATAAGCCATTGACAGCTTCAGAACTATACCATGTGCAGCTTTTTCCATTTACAACCTCAATTATGACAACTATCAGTGCTACAACCTCTGAACTCAGTGAGCAGCTTTCTACCACCATCTTTCTCTAATGTCTCTTCTCTTCCATTCACACTACACATAATACATTCACGTGGCAATTTCCTAGAGCATTTGTTGGTTAAAGTGGCTCTCTTTCTTTTTAGCTCGAAACAGAGGGTGTCATCACATTTACTTCCAAAGCATTATCTTACAAAATGAGAATTTCTGCCTTATTATTGTATGTCATCCAGTGAGATCGCAGTTCACAATCATGCGTGTCCAGACTCGTCCAAGGAAACTGGTGAAGAGTTCCGATGAATTTAAAAGAGAATTTTTAGGATACGAAATGGAAGTTATGATTCCACTGAATAACTTCCAGTCTGAACACGATCGACTTGCTGATAATTTAATGGTGAAAAACAACAAAGGAATGAGAAATAGCATCATTTTGTGCAACAATGAAATTCCACTTATGGGTTCAAATGTTTTAGACTAAAAGACCAAATTGTTTAGCAATAACTGATGAGCTTAACAAATGTTACCGCATGGATGCTTTAGAAACTCCTGTGATGCGTAGATCATTTGCAGCACAAAATATCTACACATCATGAAACTTTTAAACGTGAATAAACCAAAAATATGGTCAAAAATCCGTATCTGATTTCAATAATCCTATGTCTCTTAAGTCCTACAACTACTGTACATGCCGCTTTGCAAACAGTGACAAGAGCTCATAGTTCCCTTTGATGACCTTCCAGTGTTTCCCCTAGGTTTACAGCTTTTGGGGGGGGGTGGGGGTGCGGGCAGACGGACGCCGACACAAACACTTGAAGGAATCTTGGTATTCATGCGTTACTTTTAATGACAGCTGTCCTGTTCTATCGGAAAGGTATCCTTAAATGACTTCTTTCCCTGATTTCCGACTCTATCCACTATCCTATCTCTACAATTAAAAAAAAACATTTTTTTTATTAACTTGACTAGTAATCTAGATAATTACAAGAGGACCGCTCCGGAGATTCTCCCGACCTAGCCGTTCACATATGCTCCTCACAGCGGGGGGGGCTATCCCTGTCAGAGGGGAGGGGGATCGGGGGATTTCCTGAGGTAAGACGTGATGTAAAACAACAACGCGGAAGTAGCGGCCAAAGCAACAGAGTCCGCTACACGACGTTATAATGAGAATATTTGCCTTTATATCAAAGCTATGTGTAATCCAATGGAATGACAACATCCACAAAAGAGCGGAGAACAACATACTGACGAACAGAAAACATAATGCAGCCGTTTAATTACGTGCACGGAGATCGTAGTGGTCACGTGCAGACACTGTATATAAACGTCATTCTCTTCCCATTCAGCTCACTCGGACTTTCTGCGGAAAAAAATACTAAGGGTCTGGCCGGAAAATGCAGCTGTTTGCATTCACATATAGCCTAAAGCCCCTCCGGATAGCCTAATCTCTGGAGTTTTTCAGGAGATTTTCGTATGTGTGAAAAGGGTTTAAGTATGGGAGGCAGAGCTGTCAATTGCCCTCTGTGTTATTATTTACTTGTTTTGGTCCAGGAGGCAGACTATACCTCTACTTTTAAGACTGCGCTCGAAACTTTGATTTTTATAAAGCTTTTCTTAAGGGCTGGCTCAGACTTGCCTTGTACCTCTCATTCGAGCTGCAGACTTGATACATCTGGCCATCAGCAATCTCTTCATCTGTTTACATGCTTGTCCCATCTGTATATCTTTCCAGCAGTTTTGGGGCTTTATCATCTCCCAGACTCCCATTGATAATTTTCCCTTACATTCACCCTCACACTCTTCTAAACTACCACTATTATTTCTATTTCTGACATTTATATAACTATTATTATGATTATAGTTTTAGTTGTTAGTATTGGTCTTATCTCTTTTGTAATGATAATGAATGCTTTCTGTTTTTCTGTCCTGCTCTCTTTCATAACCTTGCGCCATGTCTTTGGTTCTCTCAGCTGGTCAAAGCGGATGGCTGTCCAACTACAACTCCAGTTCTCCTGGAGGTCTCTGCCTCTGAAGGAACATTGTTAATGTCACTGTAGCCATGTGCTTCAAGGTGGATTTGTTGGGTCTTTTATTTATGACACGAGACTCTTCTTTTGTGTGATTTAGAGCTCTATATAGTCAAAATTTAGTTTTGGCACCGAATGGCGATATATAAAAGAACAGACAAATTCCTCCAGCAGGCTGTCATCAGTGCAGACATCTAAATTGTTATTGTTGTCATTTTGAGAATGCATTGTCATTGTTGGGCTTTAATAATCCTGCACTATGCAGACATCATGCTGACTACAATATAGTTAGCTGAAGATCTAAACAAACAGTGTAGCAGGCGAGCAGGTTGGGCAGACAAAGCAGAACAAACAAAAGCAAAAGCAACAACAGTCAGTTCCTCAGAAAGCCTTGTGGTCATCTAGTTGTTTTGTTTATGTGTAAAAGGGTAAACACTTCAAAAACCCCTGACTCCAGCTTTCCGTGAGCCCTTACACACACTAAAAAGACTTCTGCAGAATATTGAGCATGAGGTGCTAAAGCAACAGAAGACTGCAAAGGTAAGAGGCTGATACAGGAGGTAGGCGTGGGATGCAGATACAGCATGCTCCTCAAAAATCCGTCCTCCTCCATGCAGCGGCAGGCCCTCACCATTGTGTCTGCACACGTTGACTTTCAACTCTCCGCGACGAGACAGACCCCCCCCCCTCCCCTCCCTCTCAACCCATGGGAGCTGGGGGGGCTAAAAATAGAGCCGGCAGCAGCCTGCAGCACAGAGCTGATTCTGCATGCAGCCCCAGTCTCTAGCACAGCATCAGTTAGACAGCCAGCCGAGGCAGCGAGACAGACTATGGCTGCTGCTCTGTGCTGGCCACCTCTGGCCAGCTGCACAATGTATTCCATATACGAGACGCCAGGTTAAATCAGGGCACGTCTCCTCTCCGCGGGGCACTTGCAGACAGCACAGAAAAATCCACTGTTGCTGGAGAAGGGAAGGGACAGCAGGGTGGTGGTGGCGGGGTCTTAGTGAGCTCAGTGGAAAACAATAGGCTGCAATTGGATGTGTTTGGGAAACAAAGGCTTGGTTCATATGCCGGCTCTAAATCTTGCTTTCTCTCCCTGACTCTCTCATTCTTCCTTATTTTCTCCACTTCATGAAAATGTACGCAATGCAGATATTACATTTAAAACCAACGCGTAAGAATGATGCATTTCTTTATCAAAACATATTGGAATATTCAGAGAAACTACAAGAAAGCGGAAGATGTAACACAATGTTTCTGAGTGAGATTTTCTCTTTTGTCATGTTCACTCCTTAGGCTAATATAACATCCCAGTGGGCATACAAGCCTTGGGCACAGAATGGACCAGTTATTTGAGCTAAGTAACACTGACAACAAACATACAGAATGCATGGCAGACTGTGGGGAGAGTTGAAGAGATGAAAGAGTTGCCAAAGAGAAAGAGACAAAGCCAATCAGCGAGGGAGGTGGTGAGGAGAAAATAAGATCGAGGGGGAACAGAGGAGAGGCTAAATGTGTTGAGTGAGTGGTTTCAAGTGGCGGCCAGAGAAGCCAAACTCCATTCCATAACATTTATTAAATACTGTCTGCAGCGGCCGGACTCTGTCTCACTGCTCCCAGCAGTGGTAAATCTAATTACATGTTCTGCTTCTCACAAAACAAGTTTAGCAGCCGGAGTGAACACGGCCACATTTCATCCTCTGAAAAATGACTGGCAGCCTGTTCTGCTCAGCCCACTGAAACAAGAGTGATACGCTTTTAGCCAGATTATTCCAGATCATCACCAGTAATCACATGAGCTGAAGGAGCTGGTGGAGTTGGTTGAGAGACGGGTGGGGAGGATGGCTGAGTGGGAGGAGGCAACTGAGAGGAGCAGAAAGGGTAAGGTATAGGTGGTTTGAGGAGAAGAGGCAGCAGGATCTTACCTAGCTGGAGACCGTAGATGCCCAGGCGGGGATCTGTGGTGTTGTGCAGCCGTCTTTTCTTTCTCCAGCAGCGGGCAGGGTATGTGTACATCTGCCCAGCTCCAACCCCTGCACAACATTATTTATTAAAGCTTTTTTTGCACTCTACAGACACACATTTTTCATTTCATTTTCATTCATTTTTCAAGATCTTCATTTTTTATTAAAAAGGCACTACTGATTACATTCATATTTTGTTAATTTTGAAAAATTAGGATCCAGATTTACATTTTATTCAAAATGTTTCTGGCATTACTGTGGTCAACACACTGAGGCTAGTTAAACATTAAAAGTAGCTTACAATTTCTTGTTAAATGAAAGACAACGAAGGAGAAAAACTGTTTGGATAATACAGAAAAGGGAATTGTACCTCCATGCTAGCAGCTGTTTGACTAACAGCAGTGCTCTGAGTGTACAGCTAACATGCTTGCAATGACTTGGCTAACTTGCTGATGCTTACAAGGTTTAACGTAATAAGTTTTACATTTCCGAGTGTGTGTTTGCATACCGGGGCTGCGGTGGTGCCGTTCCATCCAGATGTAGCAGTTGTTCTGGGCCACGCCGGTTTGTGAGTCCAGGAATGGCAGGCGGACGCTGCGTTCAGCACACAGGCGGGCATTGTAGCTGCGGCACTGCTCAATGGCCTCCTTATAGAATTGGTCGCCCAACCTGCAGGAGGTAACGTCAGCAGCAGAGGTCAGTGACACTGGGTAATGTGGTTGCGGCAGAGAAGCAATGACGTGATCTTATTAGCAGAATCTCTGATATGATAACCAGCCTTTTTATAATAGATGAATACCTTGATAATGGCCTGTTGCTTTGCAGGGTGCAGATCATGAAATTAGCAAGTTGAGGCAGCTACAAGATTTGTATTCAAGTTCATCAGAAACTCCCACAACCCACATAATGCTGTTAACGTCTGTTCAGACTTCTCATTAGCACTCTTCAACTAAGAACAAACTGACAGCTGGGCTTCGGTCGCCTCTGAAAGCTTGCCATCGGGAAGATTTTGTTCAATAAAAAAAAAAAAATAAATAAAAACCCAGTGACACAACTCATCTGTTCCCACTCCTGGTATAAACATATTATTACCTCTGTGGGCTCTTTGTCTGATCTGATTTAAGATAGGCTGTGACTCAGTTTGTGGCTCTGCCTGAGTCAGATTATCGCAACAACAGAGAATGTGGGGTCGGATATGGAGTCAGTCAACACTCTCACATTTTAGTTCCACATTTCTTAGTGCCACTGAGATTTTGGCAGTCCCTCAGGGTTTCAATGTTAATATTCAGAGTGAAATGGGGGAGGATATTTCACATTCAAGCCCTTCATGGCTGCCACACGCCTGGTATGGTAATTAGCCTACTTAATTAATCTCAGCAGAGTGCCTAGCACAAGGGCAGGTTATAATTTAAGTGTATCAAAGATGGGGGTAAATGCAGCAACTCCTGAAATCACAGATAGGTACACTGTATGTGATTTTCACAATCTGTTGTTATACCACAGGTTAAACAGGGCAAATAACAGCTACTGCGTCCTCTAGTATCAACATCCCTACATCTGGAAAATGAAGTTCCAGCACGTGTTCCCAATTAAAACATTAGGGAGACGGCCATTTTGAAGGCAAACTGTTAAGCTGCAGGCTGAGAGTGAAGCCTGGAATCTTAAAGCAGAGGAGGTGGGAGCCTGACTTTTCGGCATCAGATCCCGCTCTCTGTCTGCCTCTTCATGAGACAACATTCAGTATGAAACAGTGAGCACTGAGCAGCATAAAGAATGTCTTCCTGCACAAAGCCCACTGCTCTGCAGTTCAGACAAAGCCACTGTGTGTGAGACTTCTGGGAAAGAGAGGCTACATGTAAGTGTGACTGAGAAGAGTAAACAGTCACAGGTACAGAGCTCAGGCAGAGGTATAAAAGTGTGAGAAAGAGAAAAATAAAAGGGAAGAGGAAAATTAAAAAGGAAGCAAGCAGGTGTTTCAAAAAGGTATTTGAGGGGAACTAAAGGGTAATAAGCTAACAAGCAAATCATTACTAATCACTTTAGGACTTGTCCTTCCAATCATAACAGGATAATGGTTTCATTGTAATTAAAAATCAAATCAATCTAGTCTCTCAAACACTGTTCCTCAGTGCACACAGGCAAGACATCTGAGATTGATTCACACTTTCTCACCCTGTAAGACGCAAGAATTTTTACAAGAGGAATCACGCAGGGATATACTCTAAACACATTGTCCACAAAGCTAAACACACATTTAGCTTGAGGGTTAGACAACTTCACCAGTAGCTTAACAAAGATTTCCTTAAAAGATGAATAGTTGGCTCATTAAAATAACAACAGTGCTGTGTAATAGTGTGTCTGAATTGCATTACTCTGATCTGTACCATGTGTTTAGGAGGGTTTCATTTCCAACAGTTAATCCCCTTCAAACTGAACTACTTTACTGTCATTCCTTGATATCATCGCACAGCTCTGATGGGACAGTGTGACATATCAGTTCACTAAAAGCACACCAGCTGAAAATGCTCCCTGAAGTCAGCTTCAAGTGCGCACTCAAAGGGCACACACCATTGAGCACTTAGAAACTCCTGAGATTACTTGATTTAAGCAAACCAGGAGAGGATGATGGCAATATGTCTCAAGTCAAATCCTGCTGTGGGTTGAGGGGAGTGAGGGAGAACTGATAGGTCCTTTGGTGGGTGCATGCAGTCTGTAACGTGTAGCACTCTTTGTAAAGGCCCAGGCATCCTGTGCAGCAGTTGTACTGGCTAAGGTGAGAGATCTTCCTGACACTTGTAATGAGTGACAAGACCCACACCATCGACCACCAACAACAAAGGAGGAAGGAGTGAGTCACACTGACACACAACCCACCCGTACAGACACTCCTACTTTTTTATCTCTCGTCTGTTTCCATGTTTCCATTTGTCCACTCTGTCCTTCAAAATTGGTCAAGAAAAATTCCAGTTTCCACAACCTAGGTTTTATTATTATAGTTTTGGCCAACATTCTGACGGAAAATTACTGTGCTAGCATTGGCTCTCCTTTTTTAGTCATATTTGTAAAAATACTCTTTCTTTACACCCAAACAGGTGATCAACAGATCACTTGCTTTAGAGAAAAGCAGTTAGATAAGCAATGACAAGTTTTCCTCAAAAAAAAACCCAAAAAAAAACCTGTGTTCACTCTTCCTCCACCAGAAGTTACAGGTGACATATTATACAAAATACACTCAACCATGGTTTTCTAACACTCATTAAGATTAAGATTTACTTTATTGATTCCCGCAAGGGGAAATTTCTGTTTTTACACTCTGTTAACCATGCAACACACACATAGGCTGACATACACACACATGCACAAACAGGATGCTATGGACATGCACTAATGGAGAGATGTCAGAGTGACGGAGCTGCCCACAGCGGGCGCTGCTGAGCTGATGGTGGGTAGAGGGTTTGGTGACTTGCTCAAGGGCACCTCGGCAGTGCTCAGGAAGTGATCTGGCACCTCTCCAGCTACCAGACCAACTTCCAGATTTGGTCTGCAGCGGGACTTGAACCGGCGACCCTCCGGTTCCCAACCCAAGCCCCTACAGACTGAGCTCATCTGAGCTACTGCCGCCCATACATATGTGTCCCTAGAGCAGGGGTGGGCCACATGCGGCACCCATCAACCCTCGACGTGGCCCTCAGGTAAATTTTTACATATCAATTCATTGGAAACATGAAGAAAACATGACAAAATCTGCCATGCAATCAGTTAAATTTGAGACATAATTGAAAGTAATCATTTTTGTATACTACAATTTGGTGAGAATTAACTGAAAGTGGCCCTTGCTGTGACCAAAGTTGCCCATCCCTGCCCTATAGCCTGTCTACAACACCCCAATTATGATAGAAGTCCATCCTCTGTCTTTTGCCTGCTCCACTTTTCATACAATGTGTGCTCAAACAGGCTGTTGGGAGATTTTTGCTTTGCGACATTACAAAAGAGCAGTAACCCCTCCCCCAGAGGGGTGACACTCCTACAGCTAGGTGTTCGTTCTGCCCTCTCACCGTACACAATAGGGAATGGAGCAAGAAAGCCTGAGCCACCCAAGCCAGAGGGGCGTGGTCGAACAAAGCTCATTTGCATTTAAAACTACAGACACAGAAACAGCCTGTTCTGAGCAGGGCTGAACTAGAGTGGTTTATGCTAAAACACAGTATCAGAGCCCATTTTTGACAAGAAACTACACAGACATGTTTTGGGGAGCTCTGAGACTTATTTAAACTAGCTGAAAATTAGTCAAATATGTGATCTTTAAGAGGCATTGCACATTAGGGATGTGTGCGACTAAGTGACTAAACTGTTATGTTGTCACCATTGCTTCTCGGCACTAGAATTACTAGTTGATTAAACTAAGTGGTAATAACTTTATTAATTTAGGCCCACAAGGCCAGTTAAATGTTGTGTCTTAGCTGTATCGAAGCACGAGCCAGTAGCAGGGTTGTAGTTCTGGTTAATGAGCTTGCTCTCCCTGCTCCACAGCCTGAATTTAACCCAACACAGTGGACAGATAGAATGTCTGGGAGCAGCGCAGGTTAACTGACATGAAACCACTCCACCGAACAAATACATAACCACATTCAGCACAGACAACAACATGAAAGGAGGACCGAAGGCTGGTAAAAATCTGTGTTCACATTTGCACTCCTGAAGAATTTATAGAAAATTTCAGGCAGGCTTGTAATCTTCCTGAGATGGATGTTCACACATGCACCTCACAGTGGGACACTATCCTTGTTGAATCGGGGGGGGGGGGGGGGGGGTGTTTCTCAGGAGGCAGGACACGACGTAAAAAGAATGATGCAGAAATGGCTGATGAGGAAACAGAGTCCAATGCTCATCTGCCTGCTCTGTCACGTTGAATTTTTCGGAATACTTCCAGCTGCGTCTACACATCTGCTCATCCTGACTTCATGCAGAAAAAGTGCTTGTGACATGAATGACTCTAGATGAAAATGGGGTGAAAAAAAAAAATCAGCCGTTCACAAATGCAGCTCACCCTGAAAATTTCAGGAAGTTTTCAGGAGTTTTGTTTATGTGTGAAAGCACTGCAACTGTTGTTAACATCAATGACAGTTTTCAGACTACCTCCCTGGTTCAACTTGGACCTTTCATTCATCCCACAGTTGTGCACACAGTCTCCTGTAAAATGGAGGGATTTCATTACCAACACCTTAAAATGGACCCACTCTCAGTTGCACCTACAAATAAAGTGGTTTAGATCAGTGGTTCACAACCCTGTATGGTTTGTGAATCATTAAAGTGAAACAAGATCCACCTACTTATCCACTGTTTTCACTGCTGGAATATGACAGCACAAGAAGGATACTTGTGCCAAAAGTAAAGAGGAAAATAAGGCTAAAAGTTTAAGGACGTTTTGGTGAATAAAGCAGAGGAACATCCTTTTGCTTTTGTTTGACTTTAATAATCTCAAAACCCCTTGAGGGATCCTGATGGAGATTCATAATATTTAAAGTATTTGCTTTTATGAAAACTGTATGATTTCTAAGTATATGACTGTCTTTTTCCTTTCCAATGTTATCAGATCTCAGAAATCTATTTTTGTGACTGCAGTTCAACCTCAACTATAAATAAAATAGCCAAGCCAAACAAGAATAACGCTTCAAAGTGGACTGGATTAGTAATACTGGTGTGCTTGGCAGGGCTCAAAAAAAAGGTGCCTCAGAGGTATGTGCTAGACGTCCCCAATATCTTCCAGTTGAGTAGAGGAGGTGATCGTGTGCATGAGGGCGAGGAACAAAAGCAAATCTTGTGGCCAGTGGGGCCTCCACTATCAGAGTGTTCCTGTCAACGGTTCGCCACGACACATGGCTTCGTCTGTAATGCAAGCATGTGTCGACACTCATTTTGCAGTTGAGACAAAATATAGTTTATAAAAAGAGCAGCTTAAACAGAACTCCAGCGTCTACTTCAAAATGGTCCAGCACTCAGAGGAACTGACTTGGCTGAAAAATAAATGAGCATGAAAAAAAAAAGTCTTATTAAAAAGATGACTTTAGTCTGTTCAGCTCTGTTAAGGAGGTTTCTGAAATGTGCAGGTGCACTGCTCCTTCACAGGAAGCCAGAGCTACCACATAACAAGAGAGGGAGGAGGAGGAGGAGGAGGAGGAGGAGGGCCTACACAGTGACTGCATCCAGAAAACAACCTCTGATTACACCAATCAGCACAGCACAGTCTGGTTGAGGGCAGGAGGGAAAAAAACGACCATACACCTCCACAATGCAGTGTCAACAAGCAGCACGCCTGACTCACTCAAAGTCGGCCAAACATCACCGGCAAGGTATCTGACAGATGGGGGGGGGATCTCACCGATAATGTCAGGAGAGCTGAAGAAGATTTGTCTGACCCACAGAAAAACTCCAGCAGTGGCTAAAATTTTAATGAGCAGCTCTTTTATTAATCAAAAACTCCAGACTCCATTTTAATCAGCGGATTGTGGAGATTACTGTCGTCCCTTGCTCATAGGAGGGACAGACCTCACACAGACGTGCGCAGGCTTGCACGCTGCAGCTCCATCCTCCACCACGTTTCTAAAACAAAAGTCAAAGCGGCATTTCATTTCCCCAACGTGAATCATCTTAGTACAAAAAAAAAAGGGTCAAACTGGTCCACGGAGCGACATCCAATTAGTGTCAAGTGTGACTAATTATAATCTGACAAACGTGTGAAATGAAGTCAGAAACCCAAGACAGAAGCTAATTATAGCACACTGAAACACTTCATTAAGCACAGTTTATAGCAAGGAGACATTCCACATCAGAATGCTAAAACATGTCGGGGATGAAACAGTGGGCTGGCGGCAGACACACAACGATGCTTGTCAGGACACAAGAGATGGTAAATGGTCCAACAAGGAGACGCATTTTTTCAATAACACACCTGATCTTTAGGTGATCGGAGAAATGATCACGCTTTAAGTAAATATTATTAACTTGGCATTTGCATGAAGCACTTTAACATCAAGTAGCCTACTTCACTTAGCTGTTAAGGTGGCTGTTGCAGTAATTGTTTTGTGCAATTCCTCTCAGGAGTCATGGAAACTCTGCAGCCGGGCTTGCATGAAAAGAGCAAGATTCAACAGAAATGAATCAAGCCACAATCCATAACATCACAAAGTAAGTATGCAGGGTTTCTTTGTGTCAGGCTAGAGTTGTCCCATGCTGAAAAAGTATTGGTAACGACCTGAGACCGGCTACAACTCTGAATCAACTACCAGCGAGTATATTGGTAAACGCACAAATACGATATGATGACCGATTAGCCCCCTGAAAGAATAAACATGTTTATGGCAAAAACAAACCATAACAGTTACAGGCTAGTAAACAGTTAGTCGATCTAGCAAAATGTCAACAAACGGTGTTTTTCTATTGAAAACATGTATTTTTTTTTCATCCAGCAGGTATTGAAGAGGTTTCTGGAATCTGTCAGTACGCTGGGTTAGGTGACTATCAGAAATCTTAATTATCATTTCATATTATATCTCTATCTTTCACAGGATTCAGGCTTTTGAAATTGGCACAAGCGAAAGGCAAATATCACATGCAAAATGCAATGTTGTGAAGAGGACCATCAGGTTGCACAGACCTAATCCTGTAACCTCTCCTATATGTAGTGACAATAGATAACAATGGCATCAACATGGGTAACATGCGAAGTGTTGTCTGCGAGGTCCACTCCTCGTGCTCGCTGTCCACGGAGGTGCCAGTGTACCTCTGTGGAGGAGCAGATGGTTCTCCTGCTTGCGCCCAACACTTCCTCTCTGTCGGAGCATCTCTCTGACAGATGGGGCCCATGGATCCTGGACCAAGCTAATCTCCAGCACTCCTCCACTTAAAGGCACAGTGGAGAGCCTGCTGACTACCTCCACAGTCCCACAGACAACGAGAGCCATGATGGTGAGAGGAACACATCAATACTGGCTGAACGAGCCTTTGGACGTCAAACTGAACGTGCATGCGGTTTAATGTTAAAATTGCTGTGGAGTTTAACTATGAAAATGACAAGAAACTGCAGGCTAGTTGCATATAAATACACGAATCAGTAGAATAGGTGAAACAATACAACATAACAAAGGAGAAATGAAGAAAAGGTGGAGCATTTCTTTGAAGTTGGGGGATAAAACGAGCTCCTAAAACACCAGGAGACTGTCTACTTCCTACGGCTGCCTCCAATTGCTGTCACTTTTGTCGTTTTCGCCAGCAAGCATGCAAATAGGCTACACAATGCCTCCTCCCTTGCCTTACCGGGTCCTGACCACGTCTGCGCTCGGAGGAGCCAAAGTTGACATGTCGACAATTCACACTAACTATAAACGACTTTCGGGATGTCAGACGATATTCCGCCGCTATGCCCGGCCGAGCACCAAGAAAATCGGCTTTTAATTATTCGGAGCAGCGCAAAGGCACGCTGTCGACAGTTTTCAAATAAATGTATACCCCAGGAAAGACGACACTCTGTCGTGTTGAATGCATAACCGTGTGGAGGAAAAGCTCTTACAGTGCGGTCAGAATGTCAAGCAGCCTTTAGCACATGTTTAAGACTAAATGTTAAAATCTCCTGGAAAATAAAAACTATACGAGGCTACTTTGCCATGCAAGAAGTACACAAAATGAATTTAGACAGCTTAATCTCTCGTATGCAGACGGCTGGAAATCCCATGCACCAACAGCCCATGTTAATACACAAGTTGGAAACAAAGTAATTATTCAGAATTTCCTAAATGTCTAAATTACTTACGCTTTTAGTGGATTCTGAATGACAGCCGCCATTTTGCTACAATGTAACGCAATATCGGCGTCTTGCAGTTCTGGGGGAAACCTACAGCGATCGACCAATCAAAGCCTGGGGTGAATTCGTGGACCAATGCATCTGCAGCATACACGGATGGGGCGTGGCTTTATGAGTAAACTGTCAAAATTATTTTAAAGGGTTTTCCCTTGTATTTATATTGTAGACTGTAACTGAATAACACTTTTAAAGAGACCATTACTTGAGCCTGGAATATAATCAAATACAAATCCTCCTAGAGGCCACGCAATGCAAGTGGCACAGAATATAAACACGGACGCTTGGGTTTAAATATTAAAACGACTATAAATCATTTAGCATCATCAATAAGCAGCAAGCAAATATTTTACCTCGCTGTTGAAGCTGCAGTATGCAGAAGCAAGGCTCATAATACTCAGGCTTGCACACGATCCTTTCCTCCCACATACAGTACAGTAAGTGGTTTGACACAGGGAGGTTTAAACAAAAACACACTCACACACACTCAAGACATGGAGTCAATTCCAGATTATGTTTTTTTTTGTAAGGACGGGAGGTGATATAACTTTAATTTTATGCAAATCTTCCAACAGTTTATCAAATGTTCACACATCATCGCCTCAAGTTGGTTCCCAACAGTTTAAATTGTATCAATAATTCCTGCTTGACCTGTGTGTAGGGGAGAAGTGCTGATGAATGCACCCTAGCCAATAAAAATGATCATAATAACTGAACGTTAATTGCATTTGCACACATATGCATGGAAATAAATTCCGGTAAAAGCCATATGCCACAATCTATTTCCTATTCTATGCTGTGCAATATTAGCATCTCAGACAAGGACGTGTGTAATGTAACATTCAGACACATACATCTACTTTGAGACAAGGCAGACACAAGATCTTCTCATCAGAACCAAAAAGTTCCACGTTGGGAGTAAAGGGAGGATTAACTTTATCTACAAAGCCTACAATTGACAAATATCCTTTTTTTTTGTTCATTTTTGACAACAAAATACAAGCGTACGTGTTAAAGGCATCACTTTGTGCTTTGCATGAGATCCTTAAGGGGACTCAGTCATTACTCAAGAACTCAAAAACAGTAATGCTGCAAGATAAATTAAAGCTCTCAGTCACTAACTATGGTGCAATATCTTGATTTTTTTTTGTACTTGCCACATTTAAGCATCAATATTTCTGTGGAATAACAGACACAAAAACATAAGAATTTAAAGGCGTCATTACAAAGTATATGAATGGCCAAACAAACAGAATAAAATGAAAAACAAGCAGGTTAGAGCTCAAACAGAAGACAAATGTGTTGACCTTATTCAGGAGTTTCCCTGACAGAACGTTCCTGCAGAGACCTGGAGGCAAAACACTGGTTTGAAGACAAATTACAATATTCTACAGTTCTTCAAAACAGTATCAATACAAACAACCTGATAGTTAACGTTTAGAAAACAATCAAACCAAGGTATCAAGAAAGCAAAGTTTAACATGAAAAACAAACATTGTATGACACATGAACACTTAAAATGCCGCTTATTAAAAGAGACGGTGAGGTTTATTCAGAGAACATCCTCTGAAATGAAAAAAGGCCATGGATTTCTCACACTGCCATGCATGCCAGAGTGCTAATATTTTTTTTTTTCCAATACATAAATAATTTTCCACATTTCAAAAGTACACTCTAATGCAGTTCTATGTTTTCATACAACCATAGAGCACATTATTAAATATAGACATCATACTAGCACAGACACAGTAACCTGAATGATTTTTGGCACACCAGATATCCACTATCTAGACTGGACTGAAGCAGACTTCTGCTCAGTTTGTGACAGACTACATGATGATGTGGATATCTGGAATATAACCATGGTAAGCAACAGCCTATAACAGCTGAAAAAGGCTTAGTGCAAAAACTAAAATGTTGCAATATAGCATGCGATGGAACCTGCAGTTACACCTGCATGGATATAAAATATCTCCTCGCCATTACACGTACGACATCAGAGGAACAATGCTGCAAACTAATCACACCAACCCCGTGGGGTTCTTAACTAGCTAGTATTCTTTAAATGATACATTTTTTTATATTTTCAGATAGTAGAAAAATAGCTCAACAGCCATATTTAATGTGAAATTAGGAATTTGTGACGGTAAGAATCAAAATTTTCACTCTCCGTGAATTATCAGGGAGGAAATACAGATTTCCCTCTCAGTCAAGTAACTCACATGTTCTGGCTGTTCTACAAAGGCCACAGGAACTCTGTAATCCCAAATCTATAAGCTATATAAAGTATGATCCTAAAAACTTCCTTTCCGCAGATACACAACAGAACCATTAGATAAACAGAGGTAAAGCAGTATCAGACTGCGAGCTGAGTGAGTGACTGGTTCTCTCCGGTGCTCTGAGGAAGGAAGGCTGTCCCCCGTTAAAGTTCTCCGGGTTTCTGGTTGCAACTGGCGCACACGCGCACAGGGTGGTCCCAGCCTCGAGATGGAACCGAGCGGCGCTCCGGGGAGCAGTCGTCGCACACTCCTTGGCCACAGGCGCGGCAGTGGTGCTTGGACAGCTTGGCAGTGAACTCCCGCTGGCAGTTGTGGCAGGAAAGGATTTCCTGATCAGGCACCCAATAGGCAGGACGAGCTGCGTCTTTCACCAGGCCTACAGGGGGAGTAGCAAGAGTTAGCAAGGGAACACATACTTACTTAATGCATTTATGATCATCACTTTGGCACTTCAGACATTAGAGTGCAGACGTAACGCTATTATGTCTGTTAGCTTAGCTTAGCATGTAAACAAATGTTCAAATGATACCAAGGATCTACAGTAATAACATTTAAAGGGCATTCTGAATATGTATATGTTTACATAGCATCCTGCTTTAAAAAGGAGGATTTTTAGGATAAGATTCTCTGAACTATTTCTGCTGAAGCTCATCACTTACCACACTTCATCTTGTTTTGTTTATCCTTCAAAATAAACTGAAGTGTTTAAATGTCATGATGTGGTTTTGAAAGAAGTTTTGCCCTGGGCACTCTTTGTGGCACAGTGCACTAACATCCTGCAGTTTCTGCTTGTTGCCTGGCAGCTTGCACACAATCTCTCTTCCATTGGCATCATTTGTCCCTCCTAAATGTCCAGCTATCATTTTAATTTAGATCTTTAACACAGATACCTCATGAACCAATTACATTACATTACTGAATAAACACTGCTACTTTCTGCAGTAACTCAATATGTTTCCATTAACTGTACTTTATTCAAATTGGGCTAGCATCATTAATGTTCACCTCTACTGTTCATATCAAAACACATTAGTTAGCATGGCTTCACTTCAGCTTGATCCATGCTTACCTTTCCTCACAACAGTTTAAAGTGCACCTTACATTCAAGAAAAATGATGCCTTTGGTAAGGGTATCCATGGAAACAAGATTTGCAAATAAGTCAGCTAATTTTGTTGTGATTGGAGCAGAGTTTGCTTTCAGGTATTTTTCGGTTTGTGATGGATACAGACCGGTTTTCAGCAGGAAGTCAGGTCATTAAAAACAATTCATCTTTGCCCTTTGACAGCACATGTGGGTGAACAGGGGCTTAAAAGACAACTAAGATAAGAAGAACCTTCAGCTATCATTTGTAGTGTGTATTTGAGCGAGTGTAGAATGATTTATTTCCAACTTTTCGCAATCTCTTCCCATGCAGAAGAGCGAGATTTGTCATTAACACTATCCACAAACGTTGCTGGACATTCGTGCAGAAAGGATGAAAGCGATTGGTTGAGAGCACCTTTTTTTATGTCATGTAAAGCTGCCTGCCAAACATTTATATCCTAAACAAATATGCTATGGGTTTACAGCAGGAAGTCTGATAAAGTGAAATGAGTCAACAGGCTAACTGGTAATTCACCTTTGCACTAGTATAAGATCTAGAAGTCTAAGTCTGTGTTAAACATTAGGTAGCAGTGCACTTCTAAGTGGAAGGACTGCCACTAACCTGAAAGGCTCATCAATGGATTCTGTGAACTACATAACAGATCTCAGGACCCTGACTCATCATTGTGCATTGTATGATTGAGTTAGCTATGTCTATTTGTAGACAAAATCCCTGGCATGTCCCATGCTTAATCTGCTTCCCTCATACTTGTGTAATTATTTTCATGTGAAAAGTGCTGGAAGCCACAATCTTCGATCTGCAACCCAGTCACAAACTCATTTCAGGTTTGCGGTACGCAGCTCCTGCAGCTTGGATTCTCCTGCAGGATGATCTGTGTCGGGGGGGGGGGGGGGGGCTGGTCTCTTTAAATCTTTTAAAAAGTAGATTGAAGGTGTTGGAGGAAGATGCGTCAGGTTCTAGATGCTTTAAATAATGACTTTTCTGCTGTTAACTCAGGCTCTGTGCCAATAATTGCTCTGTGTTTTTTTTTGGTCTGTAACTTGTTATTGTGCTGCTGCCTGTCTTGGCCAGGACACTCTTATAAATGAGACTCTTTATCTCAATGAGGTTTTACTGGCTACATAAATAAAACAAATTAAAAAAAACATTTTCGTTCGGCAAGAATAATCAGCTATAGACACATTTAAATTGTGTATTTGACAATGTGATGACATCTCAGTCAGTCAGTGAGTCCTCAATAATATGTCATGTTGAAGCAGTAGTGCACACTAAACAGGTTAGGAATCAATTGCCCTAGTTTGAATGTAATTAACTTTTGCTAATTATACAACCTCTAATACAATGAGGCTATTCAGGTAACCTTCATTATTTATGAGGGACTCCTACATGAGATTTTTCCAAGTTCAAACTAGAATGAAGACCTCACTAGTTTTCTTTCTGACTGGAAATAATTCCGTTACATCTCTGCCACCAGAGGGCATTGCACCCTTACACTCTCATTTAATGGGTTATTTGTTCCTGTTGCATAACAATCCTGTTCAGGCTTGTTTTGGGCGACACTCACCAAGTGGGATGTCAATAGCCGTGACCACAACCCCTATAGTGTTAGTCACCGCTTCTCCAACCTTTCTGGCGAGGGTTCCACCTTCTTCCTCCTCGGGCTCTGCCTCAAGAAGCTCTGAGGAGAGAAATATCTTATTAAAACAACAAGCTTAGAACACATATGGCATGGCTGCATGAAGAAATAGATGAAAAACAGGAAACTTTCAACAATATTGGGAGTATGTGTACCTGCAAATGAAGCTCTCTGCTCAAAGCAAACATCACACACTCTAACAGGGGCAAGACCCCAGCCTCTCTCAGGGACGGGCGCAGCTTTGGAAGAGCAGACGTCGCAGAAACCCTCCCCACAGGCACGGCAGTGATGTTTGGTGTCATTGTCCTGGAAGACTGTGTGACATTTATGGCACCCCTTTTACAAGAGAAACAAAAAACAAGAGCAACAGAAGTTGTTATTGACCCCGAGCTTGAGGAAAGAGGATGCAATCTGAGTCTTTCCAAGGTTTATCTTGTGACCTGCAAACACAGATTGTGTAATAGGCAGAGAACAGCACATATAGTAAACATCCCTCTGGACATGAAAGTGTTGACTTGGCTGTTGGTGGCAGAGGCTGGTGGTGGGTGGGGGGCTGTGTGTGTGTCACTCACCATGATGAGAGAGTTGGGTTTCCAGTATGCTGGGGCGATCTGATCTGTCAGCCAAGAGGTGACGGCCTTCGCAGGCTTGACACTGAGCTCTGACACAGACTGGGCCACAAGGTTTACTCCATCCAGAAGACGCTGAGCTGCATTGCTGTTGTCCTTTAAAAAGCCATCCGACTGCGGAAAACAGACAGGATTTACTATAAACGGAATAAATAATTTACCTTAGCTACAATCAAAGAGCTTTAGGATTACTAATTATATTAAATATACCGTATATAGATAAATGATACACATGAGATAAAGACATGGAAAGATTCAGTTTGTCTTACCCCTGGCCATACATGCTGGATCTCAGTGCGGACAACAGTATCCACAGGGTCCTGGTTCCCATACCAGTACTGACGGCTCCGATAGATCACTCCACAGCTTGGACATTCAATAACATACCTGTTCAAACAGAAAGGTAAAAGTCTGAACTTATATATGCACATATAAATACATGTATCAGAGGTATAATATGAAAGATGCATTTTAAAATAATTTAATGCTAAGTCGGAGTCTGGAACACCAGTGCTAAAATTAGGCTCTGTACAAGGTAATACACCCGAGTCTAGTTGTCCATGACCCAGGTCATACAGCTGAGACTCACCCAGACCAGGCGTACTTAGCAAGACCCATCCATGGAGAGTCGCAGGAAGCAGAGGTCTTGGGGACAACAATCACTTCTTTTCCACCTTCATAGCAAGCCTACAGTGATGCACAAACAAACAGTAACTCTAGAGTCATTTGGCATGAAACAAGAGTGATGAATATGTCACCGGTGTCTGAAGAAAGCTGAGTTCTATCTAAGTGGCTGATGCTTACCTTGCAGGTGTAAATACGGTTATCACACTGAGGAGAATAACGACAGCGATGCTTCGCCTCATGGCACGCTCCCTCCCCTAAGTGGTTCATGCTGTTCTTGCAGCTAGATCTGGGAGCAATGTATATACAAGTCAAATATAGAAGTCATTTGGCACAATGGTTAACTATCTGAAATGCAAAAGAAAAATGAGGGAAAGTTTGATATAACAATTTTTTAAGAACACTCACCCACAACTGAGGCACATGCTGGAGCAGGTAAAGTATTCATCAGGAAAGAAACAGCTGTGGGCAACAAGCTCACCTGTAATTTCCCCATAAAAGCGCTCACTCAAAGCCTGAAGGGAAAAAGAAGGATAAGGAGAATCAGCTAACAAGACAAAACCTACTTCTGCACTTCCTATTCAAACAGTGATATTGCACAGCAAAAAAGGACAAGGAAGCTACCAAGAAAATGATATGAAGTTGTGAGTCATCTTTTTTAGAACTGAAGAAGCAACGGCGGCTTTACAAATACAGACAGGATGGTTTGAAGTAGGTCCCATACCATTTGACTTTATACAGCCCTACCTGCAGAGCTTTGAAGATGACCACAGGGGTGCGAGGGGAACGGGTGCTGTTGTTATCCAGGAGCTGCTCCAGTTTGTTCTGCAGGCCACGGAAATCAGTAGGTGGGTTTAGTGTCTGCGTTCCCCAGTACTGCACAGAGCTGAAGGCCTCTGGGAAACGGGAGAGCTTCTCGAAGCGCTTGGACAGCAGCCGGTCTACAGACTCGGACGACTTGTCTGAATCAAGACAAAGATGGAGAGGTTACCAAAGACTGCAAATAGAGAGCACTGTAGATATTTCATTTGCATTTTTCTATTGGTGCACCGGATACAAACGAGTTCTTTACTGTGATATGTGACAGACAAATACTTTGACTTTGAAATATTAAAGCCCCGTTTCAACCAAGCGGTCTGGTTATATTCAGTGCAGTTTGGTACAGTTCGGTATGGTTAACAGTGTTTACTAAACCCTGATCTTGCTTGCATTTACACAGCCAACCTTACCATTTTTGGTAAGCGGAGTGTAAGCCAGATGGGAATAGCCGCGGCAGCTATGTAATAGTGTGTAATCATAGCAGCCCAACACAGTGTAGCCCGCTATTAATTAAGTTCAACGAAGAAGAAGAACGGGACACACTGTAAACAAAAGGGGCCCTTTAGGGACTGATCGGTACCCTTGGCATCCCAACAGAAGGGTACCAAAAAGTAGGATGGTATGGATCCCTTATTTTGGTACCATTCCTAAATTTTGACGGTGGAAACGCCAATAAATGGGTACCGAACGGAACCAGACTGCTTGGTGGAAACAGGGCTTAGAGTCGTGCAGCATTAGCCAGAAGAAACACATACTTACTAAAACTATGAGCATATGCAGCCATTTGATTTATCCTGCTTTAACATTTTATTTGAGGAGAGAGTTTTTCTCACCCAAGAAGTTTCCACACAATAACACAGTAAACCCTATTGTACGAAGAGAATGTATAACGTAAATCCATGAAGTTAGTTTCACACTGTAGCTCAAGAAGAATAAAAGCCAGTAGCTATTATGACAGCTACTCATTTCAAATCAAGTGAATGTCATATATTGGGAAAGATGACGACATTACTGGAAAGTTTGAAAATGCAACAAAAGGACTTGCAAAGAAACCAGGTAGTGTCTTTAAAGTGCGTGAATGTGGTTACAAATATTTGTTCATTTTGACCTGACTAAGCAGCGTGCCCCTTTTCTTTGGCCCTAAAATAGAGTTCAAAGAAAAACAAAAACAAAAATTTGGAAGGCAGATTGCTTCCTCTGGTGATGTAGAAGAAAGTTTACTTTAAAGGCACCGCCTTGTCTTGTTCAGTGATGCAGGCCTAAAACTGATGCTGATATAATACCAATAAACTCCTGGAATGCTAACAGAAGCTTATTGAAATGTGTTACAGATGACACCAAGTAACACTTGAGATTTTTACCTGATCCAAGAAGCTTAGTGTGGACTGTTTCATGGAAGATGACCACTGCAGGCCCCAATGTGGACAGTGGGACGTCCAGGCCGCAGCGAGCTGTTGTGGCCTTCAGTTCCTTGGTGAAATGCTTCAAGTAGGCGTCCGAGGCATCCCCCAAGAACTTGAAGAGGTCGTCATGAAGACGATCAGCATGAGTGCGGTAGATGATGAGGTCGGAGATGGCGAGCACCTTGAGCAAGAGACGGGTTCTCTGGCCCTGTTTGGAGCTGTTCCCTAGCAGCCCCTCCGTATCGATGACCACTACTTTACGGCTGGGGTCAAACGCCGCCCACACACCCACTGTGCACGATTCCTGTGTGGGCGAGGTCTTGAACACCTCTCTGCCCATGAAGAACGTGTGGTTCAAGGTGTGAGATTTTCCTCTCCTGTGTTGCCAAAGATGGACACCACCTTCAGAAGCTGGTCAGGGTCACAGCTCAGGCGCTTCACAAATGAACTTTCATCCTTTATCTAGAAAATAAAAAGTCAAGGTGTAAACATTGTTTTTTTTTTTTATCAACATGTGCAATTTGAGCGCCACTTCAGCACTTCTCACCTGCATTTCCTCATTCTCATCAACCAAGAGAAAACTGGAAACCTTCTCCAGAAGTTTGGCTCTCTGAGATTTGCTCTCATCTGCTATTTGGACAGCAGGCGGGACAGACGTGAGAACAAAGCTGACCTCTGCAGGTTTAGGTGGAGGAGGGTAAGATGTCAGCTGGTGTTTCTTCTTGTTTCCTCCAGAGTGGGTGCGTTTCTGACAGTCTTGGCACAAGTTAACTTTGCAGTTTTGGCAACGGACCACAGATCTCCGGCGTTTGCCATTGTCTCCATTTCCTCCTTTGCAGTTGTCACAGTACGGGACATGACCAGGACCGATCTGAACCCGCTCGTGGTTCTTCAGATTGTCCTGGTCATGGAGCTCAAGCTCACAGCGGACACACTGTAGGCTTTTGCAGTCATCACACTCAAATGCAGCCTCCTCGGAGCCACCACAGGCATAACTCTCCTGACATATTAGACTAGTGTTAACTCCCTTTTCTGAAGATGAGCCATGGCCACTCATCGTTTCTTACAAGGAAAACTTTGAACAGAGCGGTTCTAACAGCAGCAGCAATTTCCTATCATAAATAATGAAAAATGTCCACTATCCCTTCACACTGAAAATAGAGATGACCTATTAAGAATGAATTTAAATAAGCTGCATGGTACCTACGATGTTGGTCTGAATACTGAACACTTAATACTTTATCACGCTTAAATTGATTAAAATTAAGACGGCAAAATTAAGTAACGTAGTGCAACAAGCAGTGAGGCAATGAAGCAGGAACAGCGTCTGGTTGAGTAACACCTGCTATCTTTTTTAGCCTGTGCGTGTATAAGTTGGCATTTCGCTGCAACACAACATAAAAATATTTATCTTAACGTATAAAAAATAATAATAATAATAACACAGAATATTCTGCAGGTTATCTCGTACCAAACCGAGACAATGAATTCTCCCTGAAGAGATGGATGTGCAAATGTTGTTGCTAACAACAGGCTAGCTTAGCAAACTGACCCTCAACAGCTCTCTGGCAAACTCGGCAACAAAGCAGAGACACGAAACTCACAGCTGGCTGGTTTCCACGGACAGTTTCAACCTTTCCAAAAAGGAAATTTTGTAATTTGCGAGCCCTAATAGTGTATATCCGTCCTTACAGGCAGCTAGCCTCCAGCTTGTCAACTGAGCTGTAACAACATAAACAACAAAAACAACAGCCCGTCGATGTCTTCAGCTCGGCGATCCGCGGACTCTTTTACTTTTTACCGGGAGGGAAATCTGCGTGAGTCCGTTTTTAAAAAAACAACAACAAGTCTTTGAAAAGTGTTACTGTGTTTGAATCCTTCCGAGCAGTGTCATTGTTTTGTTCTTCAGCCCCCCTCCCTGGCAGATCTCTCTAGCTACGTTATTTTGTTGCCAGGTCAGATCAGCTGATCGGATTATTTTCAGTCACAGGGTCAATGGAGGGTAAGGCGCGCTGTTGCATGATAGGAAATGTAGTTCTTTGGGACAGAAGGCTTCGACGACTCCTGCTGCCATGTGTAAAACACAACAACAACAACAACAAAAAACGTGTTTTTCCTATCAAACTCATCAAAGGTTAAAATAATTATGTTATAGGCTACTTTTAAATAGTTTAAAAGTGCTGCAGAATTGAGGGTTTCCATTGAATGCATTTAAAATAATGTAGGCTATATATAGGCTACAGGCAGGTTTGGAATAGATATTGCTGCGCTACAAAACACTGAAATACCACAAATAAAGTGGCGTATTAATGCACCTAAATGCAATACTCTATTGGTACAGTAAGGGCTATTTTATTTTAATTTTCTTTTTAACGCTGCTGTACAGGATTGCTGCTAACAAAGTTTTGTTGTGTTCTTTTATACAATGACAATAAAGAGTCTATCTATTTTATGCTCCACCCAATAGGCTACAGAAAAAAGGCTTACAAATAATGAGATATTAAGTTGATTTAGCAAATTGCCCCCCCAAAAAACAATAAATCTTGATTAAAGATAGTTTATTCATTCTTTGCGGAATAAGTCTATTTATATGTGATTTAAAATACACTCCTTAAAACTCCATGTGGGCGGATTTAAAAAAAAAGTAATTGTTTGAAACAAGCCCCCGTAGAAGCCTTCAAACAAAGGGCAGATTTAAATGGCTTTTGTCTTGTTAATCAGCACTTCAAAGAATCAGCAGGCGACCATTTGTCCCACATGGCAATTTGTGTTTCCCTCCATTTTTTCACTGACAGAACTGAAGTCTACAGTGGAAAAAAATATCGTAAAATGTAGGATTTAGACAACACACAACAGGCTTTATGATTTTACACTGCAATGCATTTTTTTAAAGCAATAACACACAAAAACATACCAACACATATATGAACATCAAAATATAAAACATTAAACCAAGAAAGGGCAACGTAAATACAAGAGCAGAATTATATATCAAAAAGACCTTTAGGATTGATGACAACGCAAGGGTGTCATGGTCCTAAAACTTTGGTTTGGTGCACACTTAGTTGTTGGAGAAATGTTTTGATACAAATGCATAATTTCACACCAAAACACTGTTTCAACCAAGCTTGAGTTCATTCAATCCACTGTTTGATTCCACTTCAGATTAAATAGAAGATTTTCCTCCATCCAAAATCACAAAAAGTCTTGAAGCGCTTTAGTGGGCTGAGCTTTTTAGATTTTGCTCCACCGGCCTGCTTGTGCTTGATAGCTGCAGCTATAGCAGAATCAAAAACATCTTTCAGGTTGTTCTGTGTCAGAGCTGAACACTCCACATAGTCCTGAGCTCGGATCCTGTGCGCCAGCCTCCTGGCCCTCCTGATGTTCACAGGTTTGGTGTTCAAAATCTGGTCCAGGTGAATGAGAATTTCAACATTGTGGCAAAGGTCCGACTGAGTCCCTACCAGAATGATGGGAGAGGTCTGGTTTCCAGTGCGGATCTGTGGGATCCATTTGGAGGTGATGTTGTCAAAGGAAACAGGGTTGACCAGGCTGAAGCAGAGGATGAAGACGTCCACATGGGCATAGCACAAAGAGCGAAGATGTCCAAATTCCTCCTGTCAGATCAAATGTAATGAGATGTGGCACTAAAACTGGAATGTGAAGGGGGAAAAAAGTGGTGTTGCAAACCAACCTGTCCTGCTGTGTCAATAAGCTTGATACGAGTTGGGATTCCATTCACGTGCACCAAACCTGGGAGTCAAGAAACAGCTATCAGTTATATTGCAGAGAAAAGCTGCAATTAATCTTAACAGGAGAACTTTAACTCACCAGAGAAAACATCAAACGCTGTCTGTCTGTACTCGCTGTTGTATCCATTAAAGATGTAACTGATGATCATGCTGGTCTTCCCCACAGCTCCATCACCAACCAGCATGCAGCTCACCTCCTCCCTCAGTTTGCATGCTTTTTCATGTCTCTGACAGGCCATCTTCCTTGCGTGTAGATTATTACAACTCCATTACCCCTGCAGCTTGAAAAAAACAAAAAACTCCTTGCGGTAGTGAAGGCAGCATTAGCCCATACTGTAAAAGACGTCTTCATATCCCCCAGGAGGCCCGTTGATGTAAAGGACACTCTGATTTAAAAGAACAAAGGCGCCCAATCAGAGGGTGATGCTCCCTCATGTCTGTTTCCGTTAGTCACTCCCACCTTCACGACCCCTGGCCTGACCACTGGGGTCGATCAGCTGATTTGACCTTCAAAGCATCTTCATAAAAGCGGGCAGTTACCGATAATGAGATAGACTTTAGCTTTACTTTAAAGTGCTTTAGACTCCAGTTGAAGAGCTCTAATCTAAAAGGACTTGGACATATAAAACAATTATTTTATTTTATCTAAACAGTCCGCTTCATACTGGTAGGGTTTTGCAAAAAAAAAAAAAAAAACCGTGTTGCTTAGTGTCTATCATAGGCTACTTCGCATTAACTTTCTACACTACACGTTTTGTCTGAGTGGGTGTAATACCATTATTTGTCCATAGAGGGAGATGTTGCTCCAGCATCGGCGGACACCTTCCAGAAGCTGCTTTCAATTCGAAACTAGTGTTCCAGTAACATGATTAAAATGTTCATGGAGGCTATAACGTAGACCTACATTGTCTTCTCAAGTGGACATTTAGCTTTTCATGTTTTGCAAAAAAAATGCATATGCCTATATGTGGTTTCACAGATAGCCTATTTGTAATTTTATCACAATTGGTTGCCACCTTGTCATTGTCTTTGTAATCTATAAACTAAATAGCTTGCTCTAAAACTCTCCTAGGCGAAGGGCAAAGGTTACAGCTGAGGGGGGCATTGTCAGATTTTCATCAGCTGATGAACAACTTTCATCCTGTCTTTGTCGGGGTCACTGGGTTCATAAATAAAATAATATGCTGTGTTCACAATGTACTACTATAAATATGGACATGATCATTTCATTCTAAATCTACTACAGTTACAAAACACTAAGAATACTTTTAAATATATGGAATGTGTAATGCAGTTTCACTTTGACAAATGCAACTGTGCATTGATTTGGGTGAACTCATTTGCACAAAAAGGTGTCGGGAGTTTCCGTTCCATTTATTACATGAATTTTTATTTGTTGCAAACTACCATGCTGCATTTTGTCCATACAAGCAGATATGCTCACCAGGATATACCTTTTATGATGCACTGAAGAAAGACATGATCATACAAAGCCTATTATATTTATTCTTTGCAAGGCAGAACTCTTGTTAGACATGTGCAAGGGAAGACGCTCACAATCCAGCCTGTACATTTTGATCAGCCAGCCATTCTTGTGTAGAATAAATATCAGATAATAATCTGAAAGTTTCAGTATAAATTCAAGTACTCAAACATTTTCTTCCCCAATGTATTCCAACTGTTGTGCAGAACAGTTATACAAGCATTGCAAGAGGTGCTTTTGGAGATTGGTGAACATTTGGAGCTGAAAATACAGCTTTAAACAAAGTGTTGTTTCTTATCTGTCTGAGCCTGCAGGAAACTCTGCGAGCATTGTGTTGTAAGGTCTTTGCTTCCTGTTTGCCGTTGTTTCTCGCTCTCTCATTCTCTTCTCCCTTTCTCTCCCCATTTTTCCCACCACCTGCGGTGCGAGTGATAGAGTTTATCCCCCATGGTACAACGACAACATCTGGTACCCCCCCCTTCCCCTGAACACACATCATGTTGCCAGCTCAGCTCCCATGCTACACCTCTGGCAGCTGTGAGTCACAATGCTGTTCCTTAATTCAAGGTAAATGTCAAACACAGGAAACCGTCTTTAAATATCTCGACATCCAAAGGCTCTCTTTTCCTGTAACAGACCCTTTTATCATCATATATCAAACAGTGAGCAGCTCTTTTATGCAAACAGATACATGCACAGTGCAACTGCTTTTTAATGTAGTATAGCATGTTCCTTAATTTGTGCAGCAGATGTCAGCAGTGCTCATGATGTAAACACTGCCTCAGTGCCTAGAAGTAGGTAATTTGGATTCATATTTTAAACTGTAAACATGTTTTGTTTCTGCATTCTCACGCTCTCTCTCTCTCTTTGCATGACTAAACATGCAGAAATGTATCCTGACACAGATTTATGGAGGTAATCTGCTTAGTAAGGGTCCCCAAAAGTGTGCAGCTTAGGGAAAGCCCTCCGTTTACACACAGCACACTTCAGAATGCATCCCTGTCTCTTGTTTTCTGCCCATCCCCTGTGAATGTATGCAAATTTATAGAATGAGATAAATTCAAATACCCATTTTCTCCCTATGAACTCTTGCTCTGTTTGTCAAAGGGAACCTAGTAGCTGGCTGAAGTTCCTTTCACACATCAAATCTGACAACAATAGAGAAATCTGTCAGAGAGGTGTTAAAAGATTAGGCTCCTCCCTAAGCCTCAGATAAGCGTGGCACACTGCAGACTGGGCACAAAACAAGTGGCTGACACGAAGATGAAGTGATAAACAAGCCATTTGCATAACATTTCCTGCATAATGTCTCTTTAAGTAGATACTGCAGAGGCTCTTAAGTGGTGAGGATTAGAGCAGGATGGACGCTTGTATCACAGACACCTCACAAACCTGTCCCTGCTCCTTCTTTAGTTAGGTGTGCCTTCAGGGTCATGGCTGGGACACTGTCACTTTCTAAGCATGGTCTAATAATCTCTGTGATACAATGTTGATGCCATCAACCGTCTGGTGTCAAAAGTCCTGACCCGCTTGCTTGAGTTTGACACAAAACATAGACTGTGGCGGATTAACTTGCTTTGTGTTCATTGATGACTTGTAGCCATTGCCCTTTGAGCAGAGAGTTACGGTTTAACAACCATCACTAATGCACCAAAAAGCATATGCAATTCTTTTTTTTGCATTCACTCAATATTAGGAACATAAACAAGCTCCACATTTGAGTTGAGCACCAACACAGCATGGCACACAGTAGACACTGAGAGACTGATATCCATGTTTGCAGCTTTGTTACTAAGAGTGAAGCTAGTGTTAGCATGCTAACAAGTTCACAACATCGAAGCTAATTTTCTTACATTAACAGAAAATATTATCCTGATTTACATATATCCCACCCAAGAATCTCCATCATGTCTGCTGTTGTCATCTGCCTTAAGACATACTGGTATGCGTCTGCAGATTTGTTTGAAAGAAAAGGGGCTTAAATTAAATGGCGCATGTACTCAACCAACCAATCGATCCCTGTACATGGAACAGTTCCTGTACCTTTTGAAAGTATAACTCCAGCAGGGACATTTTTGGTGGGTAAACTCAAACAGGGAACTTCATTGATACCCCTTTTTGATGGATTAAACCCTCAGCCCTTCTACAAAGTCTTCTTGTCACGGTGAAAAGTAACAGAGAAGGAATCGTACTTTTATCAAATTTATCAGATAATGTGTTTGAGGTGTCTGCTAAGAAGAGAGAATCATACTATCTACAGCGCATAAACAACAGGATACAGTCGCCTGCCCAATTCAACTGCACCGAGTGATTCATGGGAATTCAGACCTCTGTGGACCTCCCCCACTCCCTGTGTACACCTCCAAGCTGACCCCTGTTGTTCACATTCTTCACTTGTATCCAGTTGTTGCAGAAAAGCAGAAACTACATCTGTGAATACAATAATCGTGTGAAACAGGATATCCATATATTGCCTTCTGCACTGGATCAGTGAATTTTCAGTTAATCTGAATTAAAATTACAGTGATGTATCATTGATATCAGCTTAGCGTAAATCAGCATGTCCCAATTTTTAAGTAAAGCTTAAGTGTTTTTGGGCTTTTGTTGGCCAGCAAGCATCCCTGTCAATTTAGTTATTGCTGCTCCATTAAACCTTGGCAGGGGTCCAGGAGGAGCGGACTAATCCTTCTTTACCCTCCAGAGAGCCTCACATGGGGTCTGTCCTGCGTGCCTCGTGGGATATGCAGTAGCTCTGCTCCTGGAAACTAGATATTTACTCAATCAGATGCTTTCTAGATGTTACTTTTTACCAACTTGTTCCCATGAGAAATCGATGAATGTCCATTTTTGTGCATTGGACTGGGTCCAAAAAAAAAATAAATAAATAAATAAATTTGATGACAAAATGTGTAAAATTGTGTATTAGGTTTGTTGCCAGGCCGCTGTGAGAAAAATCTTACACCCAACACAACCATACAGGCCGGATTAAGCAGTTTTCAGTTTATACTCTTAATATCATACATCGACACATTTCTTATTAGAATGCCTCTCCTACCAACTTGTACTTTGATCATTTCCGATACAGTTATAAATAATAGACTATAGAAAATGGGTTTATAGCAGCGTCTTTAAAAATGACTGTAAAAATTTGAGAAAAAATACATATGCTGCGTCTGGTTTTATACATTTCAAACAATGACTTATCTGACAAAAACAGACAGCAACAACTAACCTAATAAATTAAATGTAATTTTACAATTTGATTATAAAATATTGTAGTTGTTTTACTCAGCTGGGATTTGCATAACAATAAACAACATTTCCCTGTAACATGGAGTACTTTCAGCTGGTGAGTCACGTGTATGTTTACAAAGATAGTATTGGTTTGTCACATTGTTTCATCTGCTCATACTCACAATGTGCCATGTACTCACTAATCTGGAATGTTTTCTTCCACGACGTCATTACACGCCCAAATGTATGTCAAAAGAATACCTGCAGTGTTTTTCCAAGTCTGATGGCCTACATTCTGTATTGCCATGTGATTTACTGCTCGTGATGACACTGTTTTTTGTTTTTTTTGTTTGTTTTTTTATCATATTTTTATTTGGGATGGGTATACAACGATCAACAAACTGTACACAGAATGTCAGTATATCCCTTCCCTCCACCAACATGAACACATACATATACGCATGTCTGTGTACATAGGCCTCCATGCATACACAGAAAAACAAAGCAAAAACAAGAAAAACAATCCTAACAGTAATACTAATAATACTCTTCATAATAATAGTAAAAATAATAAGACGAGACAAAAACAAAGATAATAATAATAATAATTAGATAACATAACATCATAGCATCATTGCATTTATCATTGTTGACAACCTTTAGAAAATTCCTCGAAGCAACAGATCAATGGAAGCCAAAAGTCCTGAAAAATATGGCCAAAGTTGGTTTCTCTAACGGTAAGAATTGTGACAGTTGATCCAAAAACAACTTAAAGGTTGGCGGAGATTCATTTTTCCAAAAAAGTAATATACATTTCTTGGCAAAATATGTTATAATTATTAATATTCTGCATTTTTTTTCTATC